GAATAATATTTGCATTGTGCGCGCAACCGTGTGCCGCCGTATTCATGTTTACGGCCGGGTTTATTTTTTTCAAGTACGTTCGGGCGATTGCGGTGCAACGGCATTGCCCATTATAACTGTTGGCACACGGTTATTCGGGGTTACGTCGTGTTGTCCGAAAGTTCAAAACGCGGTAGATTATACGAGAGACAGAGAGAGAGAGAGTGAGAGAGAGAGAGAGAGAACAAATTCTTATACTATTATCAGCGCGAGAGGTCACTACAATAATAATAATAATAATAAACTGCAACGCACTCATTATATCGCGTTTCGGTGTATGATATACGAAATCCGCACGATATTTTTTTTACGTTTTTTTTTTTTTGACGAAGTAACGATATTTTTTTGTACACGCGTGGGCGGCTAATGACTATAGGTACATAGGAGGCATATTAAAAATATTTGCAAACACAATTCGTACAAAACACAATATTATGCGTTATGACGTATACGAACTTGTAGTTATAATTATATGTAGAGGTACTTGTATTGTACCTGTAATACATACGCGCGACTCGGTTTTATTGTTCCGATGCGGTATGAATTTTTCGCCGTGAGAAATATTCGCGCTTGTCGTTTTTTCGTTTTTTTTTCGCCTTAGCACTCGGTCCGTTCGGGCTCCGCCACGGCCGTTTTTCCGTATCGGGAGGCCGGTTTGCCATCTCTGCGTAGCGCACTTTACGTCTTTCTCGGACGGCCGTCGTAATTTCAAGAGTCTCCGTACGTAACGGCAACGGTCGAATCAAAAACGGACACATTTTTCCTCTGACAGATTTCGTTTGCGAAAATTTAGTGCAAATCGTAAAATCCGCAAACAATATTTTTCACGAAATCGCGGCACAACAGAAGAGGGGACTCCGATCTGCCCCCCCCCCCCTTATGAATCATATTATAAATGTTTGAAAATGTTTATTTGAACTTGTCGTTTATCGTTTATGAATAGGATTTTCAAAGTCTTCGGTATAATATCTTATGAATAAAACCTCGAAAAACCGATTAAACGGATAAGTTCTTCCCGGTGTACAGCGTACACGGAGATGTGTCGGTTACCGTTAATGAAGTCGTACGTGCAATTAGGAAAACGGCGTGCGGACATTGTGTCTAAGGTGAATATTCCGCGCATATTTTAAGTATTTAAGGCAAATGTTAAAATTTATAAACATAACGAATTGCCGTAGTTTCGCACGGTCTTGTAAAACAACATTGGTATATGACGTACGTATCGAATATTATTACTGTTATATTTTATTTGAATCATCATAACACGGATCGTTTTTGCTTGTGATCGTTTTTATGACGTTTCACTGTGTATAATAGCATCATAAAAATATCATCAATCATTGGGTACATATTAGTTTGAAAAAGACGGACGGACACTGTTGTAAGGTGAGAAGTTGTAAAGCAGGATTCGGAGGATTCAATTTAACCTGTACTTCACAATTAATCATTGTTAACGTAAAACGATTCTGAGCGGAGCTCGATCAACAGTATTGAATTTTCAACGTGTACATTTTCGTGAAAACGATTGTTTAAATGAAATTAAAAGATTAAAATTATAACAAAAAATAAATAACACGGTTGCCAATGATAACTTTATCTTTAATCTTTTGATCGTTTTTAACCTAATAACCAGTTTTCCTCGTTATATCGAATATTGATGATATATTTAAAACAATGAGCTTTCAGAAGTACCAACTAGAACTTAAACGTAACGAAAAAAATCTATTGTCATATTTCATTTGGAGCAAGATTTCTAAAAGAGATTTTTGTACACAGTAAGAAAAAAAATTTAAAAAAAAAACCATCAACGTAAAACCAATAGACTCCTCGCTCTACTCAGAATCTAAAATTTGTATTTTGTTGTGCAACGAAATCGTTTATCGTATTGAACCTTTTTTCCGGTAACAAATCCTGGTCGTGCCATTGAATCGCTGAGATAGGATTTTGAAGATGGCACACAATATGTCAGCTAATATCGGCGAAGAGCGCATAGCCAACCGTATAGATTTAACAAAAACTATTAGTGCCAATATTATCGGTAGTAATCAAAATATTTACAAACGTCAAAAAACTGCCTGAACTTGATATCAGTACAGAACTACGGAAAACTGAGTTTCCCGAGGTTTAGGTCTTCAATATTTACGTAGATTGTAGGCGCTGAGTTTAATAAATGTACCAATGACAATACGAGGTGGTCATAAATTCATAATATTAGCATTATGTTTTTTGGGTCAAACAAATACTTTCAATACAAATACCCATGTTTTTACCTAAGTAAAAACATGAAAATTACCATCGATTTTTTTCAAATACATACATTCGAAGTATTTTTTAATGGTTTTGGATTGAAATCAACGGAACGACGAATAATGTTTTTGATATCGAGTCTAGCGAAACCGTTGGTAATAATGTAATAATATAATGATCCTGTACACGTCACCAATTCGGACTATTTTAATAGATTCGTTTACTAACGAGTGATGTCAAAACGTATCGCGCTCATTTTAAAATTCTAGAGGCCGTACAGGATTTTTAAAACGTTTATACAGAGTGTTCCACGAAGATATACCCATAGTAATATGTCCGGAGATAATAAAGATAATCAAATTTTGTTTGTTTTATATTACTCTCAGGAATAAGGGGTATACATATTTATATTTGAATTCATTTTTTTATGTTTTTGGTAAATTAAATTTCTGATTATTAATCATTTTTAAAGTTCAAAGAAAAGTAGGTACCTATAGTATCTGTAATAGACTGTAATCACATTCGCTAATTGACCGTTATTATTATTACGGAATATTTACCGTACATATTTTTTCTTTGAAGTTTAAAAAATTATTAAAGATCACGAATTTAATGAAAATAAAACGTCGAAACGTCAAAATTGTCAGAAGAATAGGCTCTTTAAAAAAGTTATCTTCAAGTTTTTCAAAAATAATGAAAAAAAAAAAGGTAGTTCTTTAGTTTTTTTTTTACCAAAACACAAAATTTTAATATTTGTAGTCCTTATCCTTGCAATAAATACAGAAAAAAAAAAACAAAAAGACAAAAACAGAATTAATCATTATAAATAAATATCTCAAGAGAGTATATTACAGAGAGTATAATATTTTCGTGAGACACTCTGTATTTTTATTTTATCGGTTTTACAAAAAAAAAAAAAAAAAAAAAAAATAAAAAAGTGTGCAATCGGTATGATGCCAACGGATACCTCTCGGAGAATCGTATACGACTGGAAGTATCTCGAACGAGTTGTAGTGTACAGAAATATTGCGATATCGCCACCGTACCGAAAAAAAAAAAAAAATTAATAAAATATACGAAAACCGACGGTGACGAAATCACAATCGGGTCGTTATCGCGTATATGTTTACGGCGATAAAATAATATTTATTCCAGTATTTTTATCGATAAAAGTCTACATTGTTTATTTTTTTTTTTTTTTTTTTTTCAACACTCGATCCACGCGTGCACGGCGCGTTTGAACGCTCGTCCGCGAAACGACCCCGTCCCGTATTATTCTACGCGACACTAGCGTGTTCGGATTCCACAACCGAGCTCGGGTTTTCTCCGGGTTTCCGTAACGGCAAACAATTGATGTTGTTCCGGACGAATAACAAATAACGCCGGACGCGTGCGGCACGAATCTTCGGAGCGAACGTCTTCCCGCAATGTAATTTATCGCCGTCGAACGCATTTGCCGCGCGCACAACAACCCCGGCGTGCGCGTATGGTACGCGGCGAACACCGCCGTGATGGCGTTGTCGGGTCTGGGCGGGTTCGGCGGTAACGGCCGAATCGCCGGACAGCGGCCGTCGCGCGACAACATTATTTTCGCGTCGCGGCCGCGTCACGTTTTCGTTATTGCTATCGGCCCGGCCGAATCGTTCGAGTTCGCCGTCTCGGCGACGAGACGTCGCTGGCCGTTTCAGTTTAAAAAAACTCTCCTTCTCCGTGTGCATTGCATTACATTACTTGTACAGTATTATATGCCACGGTAATGTTTTCTGCAAACACTACTCGTACCAAGTATATTTCCCGCCACTGTCACCGAACATTTGCCCCGGCCAAAAAATTCGGTCGGCCGATCGCGCGACTTGCGCCCCGAGTTCGGCGCCACTGTTGGATAGACCTACAGTCAACACCCGCGAACCTTCCCCCTCCCCCCGTAGTTTGTCTTTGGGGACGTTCGGCAAGACCTGTCCGTTCCTATACATCGTTCAGGTTAGGTTACCGTCGTTATCTAAGCGCGAAATAAAACGTTAAAGACAATTACAGCGTGTCTCCATAAGTAACACAGTAGCTACAAGACGAAATTTTGACTTGCGAGGTTTCGCTCGCCGGTTAACAGAACGATACAAAATGCAACGACGGTATATAATGCACGCACGTAATCACACATAATCACAGTTTCGTTTGGTCAACAACCACGTATTATAGTCATTGCAAAGTCGTCGAAATCCAACATTTAACCTCGAACTTGTAAACGCGGGCGCCAATAGGCGAAATTTCAAGAGAGAAATCAAAATAAAAATAATTTTCATAATGCATGTCATATAAAGGGTTGAAGTTATTTCGACGTATATGTATAGGTAATCACTGATGTATATTTCAGGGAAGGATGGACAAATGCCCTGTATTATATTATTTATACGTAATACGTAATATACTTACGTTAGTTTAAATATTTTTTCAATAAATGTAAATTGTTATTCATACGTTCATAACGACTTCGTATTTTATTCAATTTTTTTTTCCCCGGCGGAGTTTAGGTGCGGCAGAAAAATGTACCGTGACCAAAATTTTACGCGCCCAATAGTTACGTCGAACCCACGCGTTATTGACTTGAGACTCACTTGAATGCTTAACGTTGATTGTATAATACGTATTGTATACGTACCGATAAACTACCAAGTACCAGAGGGGAGGATTAATAAAATAAAAAAAAACACGCATGATTACAATATGTAAATACGGATAGATATATTTACACAAAAATAAATACAAGAATTTCGAAAGAGATGAGTGCGACCCAGGTAGGTCGTATGGATACAGATGACTAATACATGTAACAGAGCCGCGGCGGGTCGCCGTCGGTTGGTGACAACGCACCCGAAGCGGCCGAGAGATACAAGGGGGAAGGACGGGCGGCGGTGAAAAGATCAATAATCATGTTGTATTATTGGATCTAGTATGCCTTGTACGGGGCTGGTTTGTAGGCGGGTGCTGGGTAAGCGGGTGCTGGGTAAGCNGGATGGGTCGTTTACGCTGTATTCGAAGCTGTACGGCGCCGGTGGGTAAGAGGGTTCTGGGGCGTAGGCCTTTGGTGCGGCGTAAGCCGGTGCTGGGTATGCGGGTGCCGCTGGGTAAGCTGGTTTGTAGGCCGGGGCGGCTTTGTAGGCTGGGGCAGCTGGGGCGTAAGCCGGGGTGCCTTCCTTCTTGACTTCGGCGTTGAAACCGTAGTCGTCGGCGGTGTATTCGACGATTCTCTTGGTGCCGTCAGATTCGACCAGGCTGTAGTATCCCTTGACGGTTTTGCCGTCGCTGTATTCCGATTGGCTCTTGACGTCGTAGGTGGATGGGTCGTTTACGCTGTATTCGAAGCTGTACGGCGCCGGTGGGTAAGAGGGTTCTGGGGCGTAGGCCTTTGGTGCGGCGTAAGCCGGTGCTGGGTATGCGGGTGCCGCTGGGTAAGCTGGTTTGTAGGCCGGGGCGGCGTACTGGGAGAGAGCGGCGGCCACGCAGGCGGAGAAGATGATCAACTGTGGAAAGCAAAAAGTTATTAAGACTCGAACGAAAAAAACAAATAAAAAAAAAAAAATCGTTTTCGTATGTTATTAATAGTGACTACGAGAAATGTACGTCGGGAGATAAAAGATATTTTCGAAACGAAATCGATAAAAGAAACGAACAATTTTGTAAAAAAAAAAAATAATAATAAAATAAAACAAAAAATAATATTATAACGACGGGGTTTAACGTCTCGTAGTACCGACTACACGTAGACAGACTAAAATGTATTTCAGAAAAACGGACTGTACCGCCGGGACTTACCTTAGCGGCCATTTTGTTGGATGTGTTTGGTTTTTGAATAAGTTAGAATAATAAGTTACGATTGAACGATCACTGAATGACTGGTGATTGTGACCGGCGCGTCCGCGCTATTTATACGCCGAAAGTTCGGCCGTCGTCCGCTCCTACCCGCGACAACCCCGCGACGTTATTCGCTTTCGATAAAATATCGGTACGGAGGCGGTGTACGGTAACCGGTTCGGACCGGAGAGAATATCGCGTTACCTATATTACGGTTTAGCCGGTGTGGCGGCGACCTCATAACCGAGAGGAAACGTTTGACCCGCGGCCATTCGGCCGTTCGAACGATAAAAAGAACGACCTTGAATTTTTTTATTTTTTTTATTCTCTCGTATGTACAGTCGCGAGCGTACGGATCTGTCAGCGATGCGAAATTAATTATTTCGCGTTTCGGATTGGCCCGATCACGATGCCCTTACATAATAAATGGACTGTGCAGCACACGCGTGAAGGGTATTGTATACGTATATAGGTAGATACGCCGCCGCCGATATTGACGAAACAAAAATATTATTATTATTATGACTGCAGCCGAGAATCGAGTTTGTCCGATATTTTTTACTCGCGCCTATGTCGAAAAGAAAAAAAAATAAATACGATTTTTTATAAACCGTGAGCTATCATATTTCGTTGTAGCGAATTTTCGGCCGCAACAGGAGTTTATCCCAGATAAGGCAGGGAGATTTCGGGTCCAGTCCCCCTCCCCATAAATATAGTAAACCCTTTTGTAAATATTTGTGTAGGCTTGCGACGCTGTGTGTGTGTATAACTAACCTATTAGTATTATTAACAGTGATCAACAGTTGGACATGAATTTAACTGTAATTACAATTATTAGAGAACAAATAAAATACGAATGATGGACTGTCCCCTTCCCATACACGAAAAATTCTTGGGTACGCTCCCGGTTCCCGTAAAAATTAACGTCCAAATCGGAAATTTAAAATATTTAGAGAATTACAGTTTTTAGATTCTGAGTGGATCGAGAAATGTATATTGTTTTTACAATGTTTTTTTTTTTATGTGAACATTTTTTCTTCTAGAAAGCCTATTCCAATTATCAAGTACATCGCCTTTTTCTGAAATTGAATATTCTCTGGGTGGTAGATAAGAGAGGTAATTTTTTTAAAATTTTCATTAATATTCCATATAATGAGGAAAACTTTGGTGTCTAGGTTAAAAAAGATTGAAAGATAAGGTTGTCATTGGCAACGATATTTATTTATTTTTTATTATTATTAAGTTTTTATTATTTTAATCTTTTTTAAACAATCATTGTAGTCATGGAAACGCGCATTGTTTTGAATTGTTGACAAATTATCATTACCGATTGAACTCGGCTCAGAATCGGTTTTTGGTTAGCAATGGTTTATCTTTGCTTAGTGATATACATTAAATTCCCGTCTGTAGTCTACCTTCCGAACTTCCCACATACAACGATGGGTGCACCCACGCGCGACGAATGTTCGTTCTTATTATTATTTTTTTTAAATTTTAAATAGAGGAACAAATCGCAAGGTTCTAGAAATTATTAAAAATAGAGAAACAACCTAAAAATAGAATACAAATTGTGTCAGGCGTTGAATCTTCTTGCAATATCCCGTACGTCTTTGGTCCCAGCCAGGGAAAATATATTATATATCATTCATGGAAACTTTACAACTTTACAAGGTACATTTGACATTTATTTTTCAGCGAGCTGTACGACACGGTAGACTTGTCGTAGGTGTATCGGTGACCAGGTTTTTTATAAGACCAAAGACATCATCGATTGCAGGGTTGTATTATATATTCGGTCCCGGTGACTGTATAGTTTTCAATACGTGCGTATACATTTTTTAAAATACATACACGTGTATGTACGCCAATCGGGAAAAAAAAATACAGGGAAAAAAATTACGCAAGACGTAATTATGTATGAAAAACAAAAAAATCGACCTCATCCCTGGAACTAAAGATGTTGCAAATTTTCGTATAGAAACGTCGCGAAAAAACTGTATGTAATTTCTGTTTTTTTTTCACCATTATATTATACGTCTTGTCTGTCGACTGTCGTTAAAATTATTTCGCGTAAATTCGAGAAATACATATTCCGTAATGTAGAAATATGATTACATAACTCACATTAAAATATGCAAGCGCGTATAATGTTTTGTGCATACATTATAATCGTAACGTATCACAACGACGTGTACCTGGATACGGTTTGGAAATACGCATTTCTGACGTTTAAATGATTATAATCGGCTAATTCGGCTAATGTGTACACCGGCCAATGATTGTAATTATTTTAGAACGTAATAATAATAATTATTAATCAGGGCGTGCATTATAATTTTAACACATGATTACCGAATCTTATATTATTACAACGTACGGAAAAGTCGTTAAAAATAATGCGATTTTTGATTACTACGTTTAGAAACGATGTTTTAAAAATCGGTACTAATTTGAATCCTACGGTGTTGTTTCTGTAAACAGTCGGTGACCTCGGTTTTGTGTTTTTTCTTGGCTCTTTTCATTATCATTTGCGGGACAACAATATTGTTTTCTCGTGAACATTTTTTATACTGTTGCCATGGATTGCTTAAAACTAAAGACACGAATTCTCGCTCTCAAGACTTTTCAAAAGAACAAGGAAAGCGCTACGGCAACCGTTCGTGTTTCGCGCGGGGTTTTTGGACGTCACGGTGCTCTAAGTAAAGGTGCAATTCGAAAATTAGCGCCGAAATGTGAACTGTACCTCAATACGGCAAATATCACACCAGTCACACCTCCCGCGAATCATTAGGTCTGTTGAACGAGCAATTTCCACAACGCGATTTATTTTTATGGGGATTCATGAAATCTTAAGCGTATGCAAACAAACCTCAAACGATTCCCTTGTTGGAGACAGAAATTACGAGGGTACGAGACACATGCCTGGCGGATGCGTCGTCAAAAACTTAAACGACCGCATCGTCCAGTGCCGTACCGCTCTCGGTGGATATATGCCCAAAACAATTTTTATATATTAATGACAAGACCTCAAATATCTTAAAAAATTTGTTTTAAGAAGATTAAAATTGAACATTTTACAACATTTTTATATTCGTAACGACTTTTAAAACTGCAATTTAGTCAACTTTAAAAATATTATCTAAATAGTAATAAAAACGTTATAGCGCAGTTAAAAATTTGATAGGGTATATATTTTAGTGTAGATAGTCATATTTTTCGAATAAGCCATCGGTATAATAACCGAGGCAGATACACATTTTATTGGTCGGTTAAAAAACATTGACATAGTTTATAACACCGAAATGTGTTTGATGGCCCCCTAACGATTCAATACATTATATCAAATTTTTCATACTTTGGCGATTTATTGGATTGTAAGTGCATGTTTTAAGGATTGAAACATAGTTTTGAGACATGGTTTCAACACTAAGAATCGAGAATCACAAAATAATTATTGTTCGAGCAGATATTCATATATGACATATATTATTATGTGGATAACCATATTTTTATTGGTCGGTTAAAAAAAGTAAAAAAAAAAAAACGGTAAGTTAATGGGGACGGGTGCAGTCACTGGTGTAGGTGGGAAGTTGGGAATATAGGATACAGACGGGAATTTAATGTAATGTATATCTGTAAGTAGCGATAAACCATTGCTTACGAAAGAACGATTCTGAGTGGAGTTCAGTTGATAGTGATGCTTTGTCAACAATATATATGCCATATTAGAGTAAAATAATTAAATAGGCTCAATATATTTTAATAATATTTGTTTAGTGTTGTATCGATTTTCCTAGTTTTACTACGTTTTTACCGGTTTTCCCATGTTTTATCCCGGTTTTTCACATTTGCTAGGAAAACTCGTGAGATAATCGAAAAATTACCTATTGTGTCTCTCTACACCGATTTCAGAAAAGGCGTTACACTAAAAAATAAACATCTTTGTAAAACATTAAGCTTCTTCGTTCCACTTAGAATCTAAAATAGTTTATAATATAATCATGTGTTTTGCAATCTAACGATTCTACTCATTATTATAATATGCACATTATATATTATTACTATATATGTACAATATACACAATTTAATTTTGAACATGTTGGCGCTATACGATTATCAAGATTTATGGAATAATTAGTATATATTTAAGACGTTTTTAACATGATTTTTATCATGACCTCATTCGTATTATTACGAGGGATTTTATTTTCGTATCGTATTTTCGATATTTTTAGAGTATATCTGCATATTGTACGTATATTTAAAGGTTTAATGCAAATGTCCTCTCTAATTTATATAATAACTAAAGATCGGATTTATAAGCACTAATAATTTTTGTTAAAATATATGCATACAAACAAGCACTAAAAAAGTCAAAACATACCAGAAAAAGTTACCATAAATGTAGAATAAAATTTAAATTTGTATTAATTTCTTTTATTGTATTTCGAAAAATTTGAACTGTAAATTATTAATTATTATAATTTTTATACACAAAATATAAAACGTATAGATACGCAGTACGTAAATTTAATGTTTAATTTTTGTTAGTGAGTTTTTTTTTTTTAATGTTTAAATTATCCATTAAAGTCGATACATAAACCTGTTAACAGGGAAAAGTATAATAAACTGAGAATACATTATAATTTTATTTTTCAAATTAATGTTGAGTGTTATGCACTGTGTTACGCTGTTTTTACTCGCCTCTGTTTATATAGTGACCAAATAATACGCGAAATACGCAAAATTTTGCAACAACGTCGGAACGTTAAAAAAAAAAAACAAATGCAATATACAATATTTTGTTATTTAATCAGTCCATTTATGATTTATGGACTCTCGTTGACCGCGCGCATACAACGGGGGGAAATGCCCATTATGCATTTTATGCAATAACCGCCCTAATAATAATAACTGCATGCATGTTATCCAACCAGCTAACCGGCTATATGGTAATGTACAATGTGTTCGTTAATTTATTCGTTTTAGATCAAATAACGGCCAGTGACCCGTACCGTATTCGTGGTGTACAGAAAATATCGGCGTATCGCGTTTTACAAGATAATAATAATAATAATATTATTTCGAACGCTTTACGATTGTCCGTGGATCTGATTACGGCCGTAAACTCGTAAAATACAAAAGTGGGTACCCGTTACACACACACACACACACACACACACACACACACACACACGCACAATAGGTACCTGTAAATATTATAATCGTTTTAAACCTTTATACGGTCAGTAGTATTATCACGCCCGTTCGTTTCCAGCGATTTGAATTACAAAATATGATATTAAACGCGTGTAAAGTTTTCGCACGACGACGGACTACAGATTACCGGACCCGGGTAAAATACTTTTAAAAGGTATACGAAAAACAGTATTCAGAAACACATTGCATTCGAATATAATGTACTGTGTACCGGCGGTACTTCAGTATTGCGCGTTCAACAAGATATGATGTTATGTCCGGATGATTTAACGAGGAACTCAACGACGTCGTATGATTGTATAGGTAACATGTATGCAAACAAATATTGGAAATGTATATTCTCCGTTATATTGCACTTGAACATTTTTTTATAACTAAAAATCCAACCGCAGATACCGTATATACTGTATATGATCTTTCAACTCCTTTGATTGTGTGAATGTAGCTTTATCAAACTCAAACGCATTAAGAATTAGCTGAGATCACCTATATATGTACCAGAAGAGTCTATAAGATTTGGCATTTTTTTTCTATAGAAAATGTAGTTGCCGGAGACGTAGACTTTGAGAAAGTTATTGATGAATTTTCGGCAATTAAATTGGAGAGAACTACAATTGTGATCCCGAAAATCTTTGTAACTACCTATATTTTTTTAGGAAATTCTCTTTTATTTAATAGTATTTCATTATTCTTTCTCATTATATTTGTGAAAATAAATCTTTCTATAAATAAATATAATATGCTTATCCAAAAATTCAATAAATAATAGATAATAATAGACGATACCCAAGAATTTTTTAATGTTTTAGAGGAGTTGGCGCCGGGCGTATAAATTCAAATTTGCCTCGGGCGCCAGAAGAGCTACTTGCTACGGCTACTGGTTGGATATTACAAAAATCGTTTTGAATAAAGTACAGCCTGGTGGAAACTACGTATATTTTAAAGTAATTCGGGAACGATTCAAAACATTTTTACTGACCGAATAAGCTTTTCCCGAAGAAATAAAGCACACGTCTTAAAGTCAAGCATTATTGTAATATTTAGAGTAAAACACTCTAAAAAGGTGTTTTTATTTTTTACGATTAAAATACTTTTTAAAACTGTTCGGGACTTTTGAAAAAACATTTTTTTTTTTTTTTTAAACATTCAGCAGAATACTAACCAAACATTGTGAATACAGTATTAAAAATACTTTATTCGAAATACCACCGTTACTTATACCCGTACAATTATTGAAAGATGTATACATTTTTCGTCTATTACGCTGGCGTAGAAATATGTGCTTAATAAGTATCCTAAATCCAACTATCGTCCATTGGAGCCCAATCTATATTTTTATGGTGTAGCGGAATTTGGAGTTCAAAACCTCCATCCATCTCAACGACTTTTACCCATGTAATATATAAATATATACTTTCCAACCCTTGCAACCTACTGTCTTGAATTTTTTATATACCCATTCAAACCGACTATATCAAATCCCAATTGCCCGGAAACACCCAAAATACGATGTGTAGCAACTGCTACACATCGAAGTATAGTTTGGACGCCACTGCTATCGTTATACGTACAACATGTCCAGTTTCGTGCGTTTTTTAATCGTATTCATTTTTTTTTTTTTGGCAACGGAAATGTAACGCTAAACTTTGTTCGGATTTTTAAGTTTCTACACAATTTTCGTTTCAGCCCGTAGGTGTATTATCGTGTACCTATATAATAGTATAATATTAAATGTAAACGGAGGCCGCGGGGCTAGGGAATGACATAGGTATACATTTACGCGTGTGCGAACAGACGACGATACACAGTCACGTTAATCATTTTCGAAGTTTTGTAATATGTACTTCAATATTTGGATTTAACCGTAAAATCGCATTAGTCCTTGATGATGTTTTCTGATAGAAATATACACGCACTGCAGTGCTCGTGATGATGGGTTTACGTTTAAAACGAAATATCGTGTACCTATATAGGATAATGTGAACGAGAATATCAACCCGAGTACGAGTTCTCGACGTTTAAAAACGATTTCAAAACGTTCTCCGTATTCTTGTTTCTGATTTAGTAAATATATAAAAAAAAAAAAAAAAATCACAAACAACGCCATTGAAATGACACCGTTGAACAAACAGTTCGGAAACTTTAAAACGGCGTCTCCGAAAACCGTAAAACCGTCTCGGCATTGCGAAACGCGCGTAACCGATCTTCGTCGCTCAGAATCGTTTCCGGTTGGCGAATATTGATCGTTGCGTACAGACGTACATTGAATTCCCGTGTACACCCTACCTTCCCGACTTCTCGTCTACAATCACCGGCGAAACGCGCGTGTAGCATTTTTTTTTTTTTCAATGTGTTCGCGATACGTCCGTACCGTTCCGGGAGATCACGGAGTCCAACGGGCGACCGAACCTTAAATTATTCGTGGGTCTAACAAGCGGCGCGCCGTCGTACGATTTGCAAATCGTAAATTTTTGGCGTAAAATCCCGTCGTCGAGATGTACCCGTCCGCAATATTATTTACGCGCGCGCACGGTTCCCGCGAAACCGTTGCCGTACCGCGTGCACCCGAATCGAACGGTCGACATTTCAATTGCCGGCTCCGTTTCGCGCGGTGTTAATGAATTCACAATCAATTCGCTTTGTCGTCCGCCCACGCGAAACAATACGGTTCGTCGTTTCGGCTCTCGGCGTCCGCGAGGAATAAAAACGAGGGGGGTGGTGGTGGTGGTGGTGGTGAGGGGGCGAGGGGATAACGGAATCATTCCGTCGCCGAGTCCCGCGGGTCCCGTGCACTGTGCACATTTTTTCGCAAAAGGCGTCGCGACGCACGCACAACTCGTGTATAACTTATATAGGTAATAAATAATAACAATGATAATATCGTCGTCGGTTGCCAAAAACGGTTGCGGCGTATCACTGAAAAATCACTTTTTTTTACCGCAGAATTATTTTTTTAAATGTGAAGGACGAACTCGCCACTATACTGTCATCACACTTTTTATCGGTGTTTTGAGTCTATTTGATTTTTGCTCGCATCATCTGCTGTCGACTTTCTATCGCGTTGTATGTACATAAATTACGCATTTTTTTTTTTTTTTTTTATTATATTTTTTTTTAGCGTTTTTTTCGTCGATATTGTATAGAAAAAAAATCCGCGGCCGCAAAATATTTAACGCGATGTTAATCATTCTACATAATAATATTGTTACGGAAACGGGTTTACGCTTTCCCCCACTACCCTTCGCACTTCATCTCGTCCGTGAAAATACGATCGACGACGGGATTTTGTCGCGCGCACGTCTTGCGTTTCAGCCAATTATATACTCTTCGTTTCCATACACGTTATACGTTTAGAAAAACTGTAAAGCGACAATGTTAGTGAAAAAAAAAAAATCACATTTGCATAATATTTCGGTTGGGCGTACGCATTTATCGGTAATTTGACGACAATCCGATTGCATTAGCGTTGACCACGTAGTATAATAAATATACAGAAAATAACGAAATATATTATTTTAAATTCCTAGCGCAGCGAGTGATCATTTGGTATTGCAATGCTGTTTATTTATTTTTTTGGTTCTAGTCTGTGGACACGTTTTTTCCTAGTAAACTTGCTCCGATGTATAAGTGTAGCCTTTTTTTTTTTTTTTTTTTGAAAGCTCAAGTTGTCTAAATTATACTTTAAAGGGTCATTTTTTGATTTTCGACGCCATTTTTTAAATAAAAGCATTTCAATGAGAAAAAACGTAGGAAAATGTACAATTTCACGATTTCATAATTGAAAATAAAAACACGGACGACGTTTTCTACCGGAAAAAAATGAGCGTTTAAAGGATTTAAATGTTTGGCAGTTTTTTTGGTCTAATTTCTTTGGTAGTCGTGACACAAATTTTTTTTGTAATCAAAAAAAAAAAAAAAAAAATAGAAAATCTAATAAAAATTCAATTTATATCATAAAATATTTGACGATCATAATGTAATAAGTAGAGAAGTGAATTTTTGATGTGTTACACGGTCGCTACTCAATTGGGTAAGGTACACATCAAATGTATTTAAATGTCTTCTCTAAAATTGGTTTTGGGTTTTACGATTTATCATAACCAAAGAGGCCATTGAACTGAGAATTTCGAATAACGACGAACGTACGTATAACTCACAATTCAATTTCTCGGGTCTACAACCGATAGACTGCATTTTCAAGTGATTCGGTAATTTCAAGTACCTGATTATATCGAATACAAAAATGTGTTTTCTGAAAAATCAACCGTATAATTCCGTAACTTAAAAATCAAACGTAGACGTTCATCATAATAATAATGATATCAGACGTGTTTCTATACATTGAAAAATATTATAGCGATTGACGTGTGCTTTTATTCTAACTCATATTCTCCGCACGAACTTTCGGCGTAATTCGTCTATAAATTGAAAAAAAACTCGTTATACTCGGAATTTTTTTTAAAAAAAACGACGTTAAAAATTGAAATCCAACGTCGTTCTGAAAAATAATATAATAAACTTTCAGAACCCATGCAAATGTATATTGCGTGATTCATATTGAATTTCAGTTTTCCGCGATACACGCGTATAGTCACAAATAATACGTGCGCATAACGTCGAGGTTGACGAATATTATACCGGGTAGGTAATACTACACGACGGAAATATTGGGAATAACGAAACCGTAGAACAATTATTTAAAGGCGTATCCGACGTGCATGCGGACGGATTCCGGATTACAATACGATACCGCGGTACAGTGATGTACAAGGCTTATAAAACCACGAGTAATAGTGTTGCGATCCGGGTACACGGTGTACATGGGATATACACGATGACTATAGAGATTTAAGCGCCTTGGGGTGAGGTCAAATATTGCGTCCCGGCCGCTATTAGTTTTCCTAGGATATCATCGTTTATTATTCCACGTTGATGCGAACGGTAGAAATTTAAATTTATTCATCCCTTAAAATGTATACAGTGGCCACACTTATAATAAGTGATACGCATTCAGTACCAACTATCATTGGGCGCCTCAGGGCAATCGTCAAGTTTAGTGCCTAAACGCAAAAGCCATTAAAAATTTGGTACGCGTACATATTATGTAGTGACTCCGGCGCCCTGGGGCGGTTGCTACCATGGCCTTTTTGGTCTTTTCGGCTACGCATTTGCGGAGAGGACAACAGATAAGTCCGATAGTTTGTCCGTTCCGTCGATGTCCGTCCACGCAGTGGCTCATTTAAGAGCGGAGAGTAGAGAGAAACCGCGTTATCCTTGAAATTTTATTTTTCTAGCTATAATTCATACGAATACTTATTTTTATAATTCGAATTTCTTAACATTTTATTCAAAAATGTGTTGGTACCAAGTTAATAAATAAAAAATAAAAAAAAAACCTGAACCATGATAGTTGAATTATCTTATTAAAAACGAAACATATCCGAACAAATTTAATACAAACAAGGTCCTTCTCCTTGTTCATAAAAAAAGTAACACTAAACTAATAATAGTAATAGTAATAATTGCTATATTTCAATGTTAACGTCAGGGCAGATTTAATTAGAAAAATACTTACAAAAAATATATAAATTTCAAATTGTTTTTATTTTTTGTTCTAGCCCAATTACACATTATACATTAGGTATACGTCATGGCATAACACAGTATTTCAAAATCCAATAAATGTCTCCTTGGCAAAGTCCTAAACACGCCACTGCGTTCATGCGTTATCGACTTGCGCCGCTCGAGTGCTTGGAGTCGATTGTATAAGTACCGATAAACTATCAAGTACCAAAGGAGAGGGTTAATAAAATAAAAAAAAAAAACACGCATGATTACAATATGTAAATACGGATAGATATATTTACACAAAAATAAATACAAGAATTTCAAAAGAGATGAGTGCGACCCGGGTAGGTCGTATGGATACAGATGACTAATACATGTAACAGAGCCGCGGCGAGTCGCCGTCGGTTGGTGACGACGCACCCGAAGCGGCCGAGAGATACAAGGGGGAAGGACGGGCGGCGGTGAAAAGATCAATAATCATGTTGTATTATTGGATCTAGTATGCCTTGTACGGGGCTGGTTTGTAGGCGGGTGCTGGGTAAGCGGGTGCTGGGTAAGCTGGTGCTGGGTAAGCTGGTTTGTAGGCCGGGGCGGCTTTGTAGGCTGGGGCAGCTGGGGCGTAAGCCGGGGTGCCTTCCTTCTTGACTTCGGCGTTGAAACCGTAGTCGTCGGCGGTGTATTCGACGATTCTCTTGGTGCCGTCAGATTCGACCAGGCTGTAGTATCCCTTGACGGTTTTGCCGTCGCTGTATTCCGATTGGCTCTTGACGTCGTAGGTGGATGGGTCGTTTACGCTGTATTCGAAGCTGTACGGCGCCGGTGGGTAAGAGGGTTCTGGGGCGTAGGCCTTTGGTGCGGCGTAAGCCGGTGCTGGGTATGCGGGTGCCGCTGGGTAAGCTGGTTTGTAGGCCGGGGCGGCGTACTGGGAGAGAGCGGCGGCCACGCAGGCGGAGAAGATGATCAACTGTGGAAAGCAAAAAGTTATTAAGACTCGAACGAAAAAAAAAAATAAAAAAAAAAAAAAATCGTTTTCGTATGTTATTAATAGTGACTACGAGAAATGATCAACAGATGAGGAGGGAAAAAAAGTCATTAAGACTCGAACACGAAATATTATGTAAAAGTAACAAAAAAAAACAACGTTCGAATTTGCGTTGTATACGCGCGTTAATAATCGGTTTTTTTCTCCTACAAAATAATATTACAATTCATTATACGCGTACCTTAGCTGCCATTTTTGTCTGTCTGTCTGTCGGTTTTCGATTGTACCGGAGTCTAACGGAATACTGGTGACCGTCTCTAAAACAATCCCGGTATTTATATCGGACGTTTTGCGCGGTGAAACCCCTCTCGAACCGCGCGCTTCAATACGTTATCGCGGTAACGTTCCCCTAAAAGAAACGTGCGTACGCTTTTTTTTTTCATGCCGGACCGGTTGTACAAAGTAGTTTTAATAATGTATGTATGTAGGTTTTCGTAATGACCTATCGAACGTCGATCGTTTTATTGTACACAAATACAATATCGCTTCAACGTATCAAACGGATAAAAAAAAATCAACGAAAAATCCGTTTCGTTGACGGTCTAACGATCGATAGGTGTTTTATTTTTATTTATTTTTTTTTCTTTCAAATAACCACGTTTGACGTATTTCTACGACGATTTAAATTATTAATCCGCAGTGTTTTATTATTCAATAGTATAATTTAATACGATGACCGCGGATTCGGCAAGAGTTTTGATTGGATTAGCTATACAGGGTGTCCAACTTCAAATATACCAATTGTAATATTATCTTCGGATATAATCAAATTCTGTTTTTTTTTTTTTTTTTTATATATATTACTCACAGGGATAACGGCAACAATAATGTACACTGCAACTAATTTTCGTTTTTGTAAAAACTTTTTTTTTGAAGATATTTATATTTATATTAAATTTGTATATTTTGTTAAAAACCAAAAAAAAAAAATAACTTTTATTTTATTATTTACGGAAAAATTGGAGATCGTAATTCTATAGAGTTTATTCGTCTGAAAATGTTGACATATCAATTTTTTATTTTCATTAAATTATTCATTTATAATAACTGTTTAAAGTTTGGAGAAAAAAAAGTCTACAGCAAATTAGACATAATAATAACCTATTAGGGAATGCGATTACAGAATGCATGATTTGATTATCATATGTTTATCTCCTGCTGCATAATTATAGGTATCTATTTTTCTCTTTATAAAAAATGTTTCATACTCACAAATTAAATGAAAATAAGAATAAACTCTTTAAAATGGTTAGGTATCTTCAAATTTTTTGTTAATAAAAAAATAAAAATTTAGTTTTTTAGTTTTTTAACAAAATTTACAAATTTAGTTCAAATATAAATTTGTTTATCTCCTTCGCGTAATATGAAAAAAAAAAAAAAAAAAGGATGGACAAACTTTGCACGTGCGTGTAGCTACTGTTGTAGGTGGTAAGTTGTGAAGGTAAGATACAGACGGAAATTCAATGTATATCTGGAAGCAACACGATGTAAACCATTGCTAACAAAAAAAACGATTTTGAGCGGAGTCTAGTTAATAGTGTTGCTTTGTCAGTAATATATATATATATATAATAAGGTAAAATAATTACAACAATGAGCATTTCCATGACAAAAATGGTTGTTTAAAATAAGAAAACCTTAATAATAACAAAAAAAATAAATAAATACGGTTGCTAATGGCAATCTTATTTTTAATCGTTCAATCGGTTTTAACCTGAAAAACCAGGTTTCGTCATTATCTCGAAAAGTAATGAGAATTTCAAAAAATTACCATTTTAAAGTACTACCCAGAAAACATTTCCTTTCAGGAAAGGTGCTATGCTTCATAATCGGACTATGATGTCTGGTAAAAAACGTGTTAAAATTAAAAAAAAAATAAACATCATTGTAAACCTTATATATTTTTAGTTCCACTCAGAATCTAAAAAAAAAAACACAATTCGATTATCTTTATTTTCTCGGGAGATATTTCAATGGGTACATTTTCGTGGGACACCCTGTATACTCGTATTACGAATATAGGTGCTCGTAGATCAGATCGGTGACGGCCGCCTGTCGAGTAGATTCCACAGAGCCCGCAGATTCGAGAACCGAAGATTAGCCAATGCTCCGATAATAATCCGCCCGGCTTTACATAATATTATACGATTATTTATTTTTTAATCTTTCGTTATCATATCGCGTAATAGTATTATAGCATTATTTTATTAAACATTCAATTTATTTTCGACTATCGATCGCCGTCTGTTTATTCATTATTTTAAACGATAAAAAATAAATAATAAATCAATGTAGTTTAGTGTTTTGCCTTTGCAAAATACGCTTTGTATAAATGTTGCCAAAAAAAAAAAAAAAAAAAAAACTGTTAAAAAAATAATTTAACAAAACCCGTTTTGTTTTGTTTTAAACGCGTATTTTTTTTTGATTTTTTGCTATTATTCCTGTTTTGATTTGTAAACAAATGTGTGCGTTTAAACGTGTTTTTTCTATGTTAACACAATACTTAGGACTACCTTAAAAGCGATGTCAATCAACGCACTAACACGACGCTGCAGCGGCACATCCGGTTAAATTTCACATGCTAATCAGTTGTGAACGTGACATCCTAACGATTTGATTCGCGTTATTTTAAGTATTATTAATAATTTTCATTATCAGTTTTGTTTTAATTTATTGAAATACAAGTTCGGTATTGCTATTTGTTTAGAAAAATCTAAATTTTATGATGATTCCGAGGTCCGTTAATGTTACCCCATAGAGACTTACAGTGATTGATAGATAGTAAGCACAAAATACGTATTATAAGGTAGTCGTGGTGGTGGTATAACTTTGTAAATTGATCAAGCACCCCTAAACATTTCAGATAGCCGCCACTGATGGCGAATAATCCGCGTAATAACGCGTCGAACTTTCGAAATCCAGACTACAAACCAATTTTTACAAGTTTTAATAGATCCGAGAAAAAAAATGATTGAATGCCAAGACAGTTGACTGCGTCTCATCGTGCGACAATACGTTTCAGACGTTCGGCTCCCGTATGGGTTGCATGGGATGACGGTCGGCCAGCTAGGTTAAATTTTCCGTCGCAAAGAATGAAAAATTCATTTTAAACATCTGTTACAATTATTGTATTCGGTTCCAAAACGGACATACGAATTCGTTTTTTGCTCGGTCACGATTAAAATTAGGCGTGTTTATGGCGATAAAGTCGTAGTTTTCTGTAAACGGTTTTCTGAATATTGTGTACTATTCTTTGATACTTGCGATATCACCAAAACGTTTTGCTTTTGTTTCGCCGTATCGTATTTTACCGACAGATAATCTGCAGTACCGAGGACAGGGAACATAGTTTTAAATTGTTTGCTGCTGATTGCGGCGACCAGGTTGTCGAAAAGTGTATTGTAATTTATCAAAATAATATTTTGGCAAACTGTTTGTACGTTAAGCTATAGTAACGATCCGGCCGCTAAAAAACACATAGCTAGAACACGCGTTTTATATAAAAAAAAACCGAAAAAAAGTGAATCTACGAGTCCTTGCGTTTGATATTGACACGATTCGGGTGTACTGTAGATTCGGGGTTGCCACTCGCTGTAATATTATTGCAATATTATTGTCGAATTCGGGCGCAACGCAATAACACGCCGATCGCAGTTGAACACTAAATAAATACGGACTGTGACACCGCGAAACCGTTGTAGACAGTACGGTCAAAAAACAAAAAAAAATTTAAGTACAGGTGTTTAGGTGCGATTACTCGTATTCGCCGTGTTCGGCAACGTTACGATTCGGGCGTGTCGGGCCCGGTCACCGATAGGTCGTAATATGAAATTCGGGCGCAGCGCAATAATAATAAGGTAACCATTGCCGTCGAACTCTAAATAAATAAGGACTGTGACACCGACGAAACCGTTGTGTACGACATAATAATAATAATAATATGTAAGTAATCCAGTTTTTCATAAATAATTAAGTGCCAGCGTATTTAAACGTAATTAATCACCGCCTAACGGTAGGCACTCGTGTACGTAGTGTATAAATATTATTGCTTAATCGGAAACCAGACGTGTTCAATCCGACATTAATAAAACAGCAGCAGTACATAATAATATAATATTACTCGGGTATATCGGCCCGTAGAAAACTGCAAGTGCGCGTATAACGGCGCTACGTCGCGATTAATACATATATATATTTTTTTTTTTTATGTCAATAGAGAAATAAAGAACATGGGTACATAATACGATATACGATTAAAGAAACGGTATACGTACCCGTATGATATAATTCCAGTAGTCAAGGCTAAACGAATTAAGTGAAAAATTATATACATAAAAAAAAAAAAAAATCGATTACACTCCGAACCGCGGATGTATGCAACTGTTGTAGATGGTATGTTTGGTAGGGTTCGGACCAGTGGCGCAACCAGAATTCCTAATGCCCGCGGCAAAATATTCTATTTAAGTCCTATAAAGGCCGAATAGGTCTTTCAAAAAGACTCTCATCTGTCCAATAATGCCTCGTACCTTGGTCTGTGCCACTGCCAGGGCCCTTATCAGTTGTGATCCCGTAGCATTTGCCCACCTTGCCCACTCAGTATTCGGACGCGTCATGTAATTTATAGTTTACGTAAATAATATAGGTATACTGAAAGCGAATGTCTAAATATATAAAGATAAATCATTGCAATAAGAGAATAAAACGGTTCTGAGCAGAGCTCGGTTATTATCAAATAGCATCATCATCATCATTATCATTCGAGTCTTTTTCCGTGTACCCATGCCTGATCGGAAATAAACAAAAATAAAAGTGCAGTATCGTCGTTCGTTGTCAGTTTTTCGGATTTTCATACAAAACTGTTTGGAATCTAAACATATTCAGTACATTTAATTACTGCCGGGCGATAAACCAGCATCATTTAAGATACGATATGAATAATTTGTAGTCTTTTTACTAATTGAAAAAGTTTTTTCCAAGCAAAATAACTCCCCTCAAAAGACCTACAAGGTGAACGTTGAGAATTTTGCAAAATATTCGATGTAAAATACTAGACGCCAGTCGGAAATTTCACCTCTTTCAAGATATTTACTGTGTGAAAAATCTGAGCATTTTACTTGTTAAAACGGATTTTCGAAAAGAAAAAAAAACACATATCGGACTAGAACAGTTTCTTCGCTACATTCAACTCTATAACCTATTATAATTCTATGCCTTTAAATTTAAAAACAAACATTTATTTAAAAATGATTTTTAATGTTAAAATCGTATATCTGAATGGTTATTTCCATCGTGTGTCTAATAACTACGCATAATGTTTACCTATTTAATAAACCTACTGGTCCATGTAACGACGCAAACCTTTTTTTTCTCATTTACAGTTAATATATAGTTTTTTTTTAAATGTGATATAATTACCTATGTAATATGTTTAACTCTCTGTTTTCAGCATAATAAGCTCCAGCTTAAATAAGTTAGATGTGTTTTGTAAAAATTGTGCTTTGTTAATTTACCTCCGATACAAAAAAAAAAAAAGAATATTTTAAACAGTTACTACGATGGGCGTCGATGGTTACTAGTATTGATAGCGTTGTGACAATGAATACCGGTGTCGCGGCCCGCGTATGTGTACTAAATACGGTTATCTTCTACTTATAGTGTCTACCTAGTGTTATAGTAGTTATAGAAATCACAGTCTATTGAGAGGGAAAACCCTTAGGACTCTTTTTCCGACCAAGAAAACATGACGGTTTTGAGTATGACTTCTCGGTTTTAAATTTAGAACTGATGTATAATTGTTATTATTAGACGTATGAGATGCCTATAATCTGTAACTGTGTTCCTCAACCCGAGGGTCGCGACCACCTCGAGAGTAGCCGACATAATAGGATTTAAATCGATGCGAAAAATTAGGGATCTCAATAATAAATACACATATCATGCTAATAATCCTATAGCGTGCATAAAAATGTATGTATCGTTTAAACGGGGAACGCACTATGGGCAACAGATGTAAGCTGTATTATTATTATTTATTCGTACTGGTGTTTTTCGACAATCCATACGCGTATAAAAAAAGTATACATTTTGGAGTCGTTAAAAAATAACCGTTCGGGGGGAGGGGTCTCCGCAGCGAAAAGGCCGAGAACCGCTGGGCTACGACAACCGAGATTTGCGTTGATCCGATAGCTCGAATTGTTACTACTACGATTTTCTAAAATTAATATGTTTTTTGACAATATTAATTGTGCATCAGATTCTACAGTTATCTGTATAGTCTTATAGGCATAGAGTATTTTACACATAACTAATCGATAATTCGACATACAGGTACAGAGTGACCGTTCTTCGACAGCAATTTTTTATTATTTTTTTTTCGCAAAGTCGATGGTTCACTTTGTATTGAAATACGTTTTACAGCATATACATTTAGAAAAGGTATTAATTTTCGATTTTTATTTTTTTTTGTTTTACGTAAATCCGCAAAACAATGGACGCACTTTAAAAGAAACAAACTTCTTCAAAAGTAAAACGTGATAATTGTTTGTAGGGGTGTTAAAAAAGAAAATTATTCTATTGCGTTCCAACACAATTTTATTCGTATAATTACTATGTAGGTAATTAGTACTTGAAGAATATGTTTACTTATTAATTTACACATTAAGTTTATACTTCGAAAGATCGCTAAATAAATATAGGATCGAAGAACATATTTTATTTTTTAATATCAAATACAGTGATAAACTATTTCATTTATAAAAACCGAGTTTGCGAACGAATCCCACGCGCGAAATTTCAAGGTAGCACGCTTGAACTCCTGTGAATTACTAATATTAATTTGAACGATGGCCACGGTACGAAACGGGCAATTATAAGAAAACGACAGTCCCGCTCGTCGTATACTAACGGTGTTAAATTTATTTAATTATAAGCAATTTTATCTCCTCGAATATTTACCTACGAGAAAACATAACCTAGAGACGACTTAAGAGAAAAAGGTCTTTTATTTCCTATATTCGCAATCGTGAATGTACGATCGACTGGTAGAGAATATTATGGTGTACATAATATAATATAGCGAAAATGATATGTTGCGAATAAAACCATAATAATTTTCACAATATTCGTAAAATTCGTTTTTACATGATAACACGATACCTGTACTCGTGTACCTACAATCTGCAATACACGTTTTTATAAAATGTTTGCATAACAGGTTTTTATTTTTTTTACCATATGGCACAACAGGCAATTACCAATAATAATTGCGGTCTGGTGTATACGTGTAGGAGAGAGGACCTTCGGTCGATGTTTAATAATATCGTTATTATCCAACGGATATAGGTATTACATTGTAACAATGAATGATTGATAACGCAAAGTCGATATTACCGTCAATTAAATGGCTATTCGTTTATTTACACGCAGTTAAAGATAATGAAACGTACAATGATATGATACAATAGTTGTGGTTAACAATGATGAGGAGTACGTGCGAGCACAGAAAGCATCATCGCAGAATCAATGACACGCGACTCGAGTCGAACGAAGGGTGACTTAGTATGGCTTGTAGGCTGGCGCTGGGTAAGCGGGTGCTGGGTAGGCTGGTTTGTAGGCCGGGGCGGCCTTGTAGGCCGGGGCGGCTGGGGCGTAAGCCGGGGCGCCTTCCTTCTTGACTTCGGCGTTGAAACCGTAGTCGTCGGCGGTGTATTCGACGATTCTCTTGGTGCCGTCAGATTCGACCAGGCTGTAGTATCCCTTGACGGTTTTGCCGTCGCTGTATTCCGATTGGCTCTTGACGTCGTAGGTGGACGGGTCGTTTACGCTGTATTCGAAGCTGTACGGCGCCGGTGGGTAAGCGGGTTCTGGGGCGTAGGCCTTTGGTGCGGCGTAAGCCGGTGCCGGGTATGCGGGTGCCGCTGGGTAAGCGGGTTTGTAGGCCGGGGCGGCGTACTGGGATAGAGCGGCGGCCACGCAGGCGGAGAAGATGATCAACTGGATAGGGAAAAAAAGAAAACAAACATATAAATGCGATTATGAAATATTGAATAATAGTAACAAAAAAAAAAAAGTGTTAACGGGTTAATGGGAGGTTCACAATTATTGTAGGTCTGAAATTAGATAGGTAGGATATAGACGGCGGTTTAATATATATCTGCACGCAAGAATTAACCTTTGCTAAAGAAAATATGATTCTGAGCGGAGTTCGGTTGTTAGTGCTGTTTTGTGAACAATTTATTTGTGTGTCATAAATTACGGTAAAATAATTACATATGCATTTTCTTTAATAATATTTATGAAATATCGTACCTATTTTCCCGTTTTCCCTACATTTCCCCCGGTTTTCTCGTGTTTTTCCTAGTTTTCCCATTTACTGGGAAAATCGAAAAATGACCTCCTCAAAGTACCTCTCCGGTCAAATTTCCTTTGAGAAAAAGTGCTATCATTGTAAATCGGAGCAAAATTGCTGGTAGAAAAGTTGTTTACAGGTAAGAGAGTTAAAAAAATAAACATCATTGTAAAACCAATACATTTCTCGCTCAGTTCAGAATTTAAAAGTAAAATTGATGACGTTTCTCGTGGTTTTTTTTTTCGAGTATTTATTGAATTTTACTTTCTCGCCTTAGCTGCCATTTCGTCGGTTTTCGTCGAATAGATACTGTATATTGATGTGTGCTGCTGAATCGCCAAGTCAAACACTGGTGACTGTCCGAATGATAGCCGCTGTATTTATATCGACCGTTTTTGTCACCCTTCCATACGTGATAATATTAAACGCGTTCTCCTAAAAAGAATGTATTATGCTGGCACCGGACCGGTTTTAAAAAGTCGTTTAGTTGGTTAATAATGGATCATTTGTAATTCGACCGTTATCCGGTTATTATAGGTATAATAAAAGCTGCCCTTTTATTAAAACAATTAAAAAAAAGTAACTATTTATCTTAAAATTGTCTAAAAATAACAAAATAAAAAGTTATTTTTTAAAATTGTTTTAATAAAAAAAAAAAATTAATTCATATATAAATATGTATGATCTTCATTCCCCGAAGTAATATAAAAAAAAAAAAACGTAATTTTTATTCAAGTCCGGAGTTAACGGAAAACGGCCAATTTTACGTAGATTTAGTAAAACGATTTATTCCCCCCCACCACTCGTTTACTATACGATTGAAATTATCCGCTATACGTATGCGCGTAATAATTTGACAGTCAATTTTTATGAATGACGGTTCGATTAGTTTTCGGTTAACAAAGCGAAATTCGCATGTACCCATGTCGGTACACGATTCGCAGTAAGATACACGTTTCCGAAATTAGAAAATTGTCAGAGATTTACAAACGAACCGTTAACACATTTCGATACGCGATTAACTGCCCGCACACCTTTAAGCTGTTTGCCTACCTTGAACGTGTTGAGATCTTAAATTAAATATTTACTTTAAATACTCATTATTACCTAAATGGATGGGTTTTACCGAAGCATGTCTTTTACTAACCAAACGGAGAGAGTTTTCCGAGAGAGAAAAACGAATAGCCCCGTCGCTCTAATCGGAATCTAATTTGTAGTTCAAATCCCCGCGAGTCTCACGAGTGACCCCGGTACCTCCTGTGACGTTTAGCCAAGTTTCGACAGCAGCTAGATTTATATCAGTATTGATTGTGTATCACCTTGTTTTTTAACGATTATAGGTTATTACCGCTCTATTATCACTCGGCATACGGAGAAACGTAAAACGGACATTCTAAAGAAACGTATTTAAATTACATTTTTTCGTTTCCTCCGGTCGTTCTTCATCGGATTCGGCCACACTTCCCTGACTGGGCGCGCGGATAGTTATTCCGCGACCGTTATTACGCCGACTTGGCTATTGATCGTAACGCCCGAGTATCGATACACGCGCGACGTTTATCGCCATTGCATTTGCGTCCGTCGCATCGGCGCGCACGTAATGAAAACGAAAACGGAAAAACGAAAACAAATCGCTCGACGATTTACGGCCGTCGATCGGATACGGGTCGGCCGCTCGCGGGCAAAAGAAACGCGATCCGTCGTAACGTCGGACGCGAGATTTATTGTGTTGGTCACGGACACACGCAAACAATGGCGCATTATGATATCGCGCGTTGCGTTAAACGCGTTGCACTACCCGCAATATGAACGGGCGGGCGTACGCGCACGCGAGTGAGCGAGTCGCGAACGCCCGGGCGAGAGGGAAACGACACGGCGACGGGCGCGCGAAGAAAAAAACCGCGTCGCGGACGGGCGCGCGTATTAATTATCGACGCGAACGATTTAAACGGTCGGCGGGGTTTACGGTGCACGCGGCCGTTTGCAGACAGGCCCCGCGGTAGACGAGTCCGCGGCGACGAGCCGCCCCTGGGTTTTCTCGGGTCCTGTCGCGCGAGACCGCAACGTCCGCGACGGGCGCGCGCTGCCGGCGGCCCGTCCCCCCGGCGTTTCCGCTCGGCGGCCGTCGGTCGCTCCGGGCCGGCTTTCGCGGTCACGGCGGTGCGTTGCGGGTGACGGACGCGCGGGACCCATGGTGTCACTAAAAAATCGGTCGCGATTGTTCGCCGCGGTCCTCGCGCGACGCCGGACGCGTTCGAAAACGTTATTGTTATTATTTTTTTTCCCGTTCCGATATTAATCCGGTACGCATATACCGTATATGCGTCTATCTATACGTATCGCGGTGAAAAAAAAAAACAAATCGTTTTTCACGTTTCGCCATAATTCATTTCGGAGTTTTTATTTTTTCCGTCTCTATATCCGACTCGTCTCATCGATTTTTCTCTTTCCACCGCCAAAATAGTCGAGTTCGGTTTACCATCTGAATCACCCTCGTCTTTTAGATTCTGACGGACGTATCGGTTTTACAATGGTGTTTATTTTTTTTGCCCGCCAACTACTTTTCTACCAGCAATCTCGCTCCGATTTTCAAATGTAGCACGTTTTGTGAAAGGAAATCTGACCGGGGTGGTACTTTAATGAGATCGTTTTTTGATTTTCCGTTATGTTTTCATAATAAAGAAACCGGGAATAATTTATGTATTATTTTAAAATCATAAATATTACAGCTTTTCGAAACATGTATTTCCGCTCGGAATCGTTTTTCTTTAACAAAAATTAATCATTGCGTGCATATATACATTGAATTTCCCTTTACGACTTACCTTATTCCCAACTTCTCACCTATTGCGCGAAGTATGTCCGTATACGGAACTTTTTGCAACTATAACTTTCCACCGTATCCTCGCACTCCTGCCAACGGTTTTTTCCTCAGGGCACTGCTCTAAGTAACCAGTTTTAATTCCTTCATATTTTTGAAGGTCTCTAAAACGTTCTTTCACCATACGTTGTTGCTTATTATTTTTCTTTTGTATCGACTCTCCTTTTGGTCCTACGGTTTTCTATAATATCTATAATTGCTGTAATATGAGTTTATAAAAAACAAACAAGAAAAGTACTCGTCAACAATAATATTTTTAGTACAAAATATAGATTTATTGAGTTTTGTTATTATTTTACATTTTTACAACGATTACGATATTTTACAAAAAATGTTTGTATTTTGTATTTATTTTTTTTTTTTCGGAATACTCGTACTGTCATAGAAAACGGAATCAGTACAGTTTGTGGTGAGAGTACGGGGTGTACGACGAATGGGCCGCGGGCTCGTGATGGTACGCGTGTTCGTCGTGATGGTGGTAGGCCGGTTCGATTTTCTTCACTTTGGCCACGAAACCGTGTTCGTGGTCGGCCGTGTACTCGACCAGTCTGGTAGAACCGTCGGGTTCCACCAGGCTGTACGAGCCTTTGACGTTTCCGTGTCCGTCGCTCACTTCGTATTGGCTCTTGATGTCGTGGGTGTGCGGATCGTGTACGCCGTACTCGAAGTTGTACGGGGCGGGCGCGTGGTGCTCGTAAGATTCGTCGTGGTGATCGTAGTGACTGCTGTAGTGCTGTGGCGGATAGGCGAACGCCAAATGACAGCACAGCGCGGCGAACACGATCATTGTCTGCGTGATAAAACCGTAATGATATAATAGTAATTCACGGGCACCGTGTACTGCACGAGGACAATATGGGGTGCAAATTATTCCGAGAGGAGGAGAAACCGCGAGGACGCGGTCGAGAAGGTGATACGGGCGTATAGATGAAAATAACCGAAAAAGAAGCGGACGCGGGTATAGGAGTCCGGGGCTTTTTAGAAGAGACGGCGCGACGTATAGAGGAACGGCGGAACCGTCTTGGGATAGTGGCGAACCGCGAGAAGAATAATGATTCGTTTTCTTTAGAATACGTTTATAGTGTACGAAATTCCGGTGGAAACGCCGGGCGACCAGAGACTTCGATATTCGCGTGATCGTTGTAGCGCACACGATGGCAAAATACTATTTTAAAATGACATCGAGATTAAGGTACGGAATGAATTAATGGTCCACAGGAGTACGGACCGTCGACAAACGGTCTAAAAAATGATCCGAAAACAAAACAAAATTTGTTTTAACGTAACAAGTGCGTCGATATCGCAAGAGAAAAAAAAAACAGAACACAGTTAAGTCTTACGGTGAAATACCGCGCGAGCGGGACTATAATATTCTCTTACCTTAGATGCCATTTTTCTGTTTGTTTCTCGACGTCTCGTCCTGCGATAAGTTTCCCGTTGTATCGTATCTAACGATCGAAACGACTGACGACTCGCAACCGTATTGTTTCGGTATTTATACGGGCAGCGGAATCGAGCAGTAGGTATAATTCCGTACATGCCTAGTTGTTTTTTTTTTTTTTTTCCCCGTCCGCAGTAAAATCCCTACCGTACCGAATCCATTGTTTACTTGTTTACCGTACACTTATGTAATAATAACATAAGAATCAGATCGTGGATGGATTATAAAAATAATGATAATCTTACGAAAACGAAATGTAGGTACCCGCGCGGTACGGGCGCTCGGGCCGGGCGGGCGTATTATTTTCTTTCTTCGTTTTCCGATTGCCGCGCGCCGTGCGTCGTCGCCGTTGCACAGTAGTTCACGGTTGTTTGGTCATTTCTCGCGTTTCATCACGAACGCTGAACGTACTAATAACGTTATTATTGCATTCGTATGTTATACACAGCGTGCGTATGTTAATTAAATAACTAAATTCCCAAAAAACACCGTGCGCGCCATAACGATATTTGTTATGTGTACGTACGCACGCGTACCCACTTATTGTATCCGCGCGCGCGCGCGCGTAATAACATAACGCGCAGATACGATCTCACGGTGTTTGTCAATAGTTTTGTAATTCGTATTAAAAATAATAATAATAATATTATTATTATTATTTTTTTTTTTCGAATTTTTAACGATTGTGATTTTCGCGCGGGTGCCGCGGCTACGCCGTCGTACACCGCGCCGGACACTGCGTTATAGACGTCCCGCTCGCGCATCGACTGTAAACACAATATTATTATAATCATTGTTGTGTTGTAGCGACATGCGACTAGGTGTACGTGCAATTACGAGACCGGGGTTTAACGCGCGTCTAGTAATTTTTCGATTTTCCCGGCTGTTTTCACGACATACCGGAGAAATCAGGAAAAACCGGGAAAAAACGTAAGAGTAACGGAAAGATCGGTTACGATGTATTAAAGAAATATTTGTAAAGAAAATACGCTCAGAATCGTTTTTCGTTAGCAATGATGTACCCGTCTACCTTCCCGACAACGCATCGACAACAGTGGCCCGCCCGTCGTGCGAAGTGTGTCCGCACATTTTTTTAATCTGTTGTTGTCTAACCACAGGGTCTGACACACAGGGTGTCGGTATTCCCGCCGTATATAGAATATACGGCGTTTTAAATCACGTGCGGGCCCGCGGAAATCGCGTATAGAAAACCTTGCCGATTTTTCCGGTACGTTTTGAAATATTAAATAACATCGATGAGATCGACCGAGTTTGAAATTACGGTTCAATGCATATCGAAGGGAGGGGGAGGGGAAACGCGTTTTGATTATTTTGTGCGACGCGGAATCGCTGCGAAACGTACCGACGTATTTCACGGGTAACACAATACAAATGCCACGTACGATAATTTGCAGTGAAACTTTAAAATTCATAACAACGCACAAATAAACTTTAAAACGATTATTCGGGTGTCATAAGTCAATGCCACATCGACGAAATATTATTTGTACCGAAACGCACACGGCGAGACACCCTGTACAATATCGTATAGATATTAAACTTTATTAACATAGCGCTATGGCAATTTTCGTGATTATTAACAAAAAAAAAAAACTAGGACACGTGGTTACAGAATCAGTTGCATTTTTGTTGTACACATCACGTGTTGAACTCGGAATAATCATATTTTCTACATTTAATACGGAATTGAGCAAGGCATTGTTAAATAAAATTAGGGCATACAACTTACGTGTGATATTATATTTTAGTATTATACGAATAATATTAAAATAAACAAAATCAAAACATTTTTTTTTTTTATTCTTTGTCAAATTATACGTTTGTTAGCGATATAATTACGTCATAATAATATAGGTAATTTAGTTAAATTGTTTGACAAAAAAAAAAAAAAAAGAAATAACAATAATAATTTAATGAAAAATACCATCAACACAGAGTAACAGCCAAGTATAAGTTAAGTAGTAGGTACACATAGAGAACGGTGTATCATTATTGTTTGTCGGCCGGTAAAAATTAATCGATATCGATACGAGTACGATCCGGTGCACACGATTTTCTAGTTTACAGACACCGCGTATCGAACGTTCTGTAAGGACAACAATATAGTCCAATATAACGATACACTAGAGGTTTCGCTAAAAAAACGCGAATAAACACGTACGTGAACACGGAGTCCGTGTGCACGCGAACGAGAGTTGTGCACTCACGCATACTTAATACGCGTGAATGTACGGTCCGGGTTCACGTGTTTCAATGGTATTTATGTGTATTCACATATTCACGTGATTACGAGAAAATACGTATAAAACAACGCGAAATAATACGCGAATATGTGAACGTACGCGCAAACGTGAATAATTCTACGTGTACACGGATTTTTTACGTATACGATTTCGAATTTTAACTTCACGTGAATACGTGAAAGCGTGTACACGTTAAATAGTGAGCTCTGTCCTATACACCAATATAATAACATCACGTTTAATATCGTCATTCTAAATCCCTATGCATTAAAAGGATCGGGATTGTTCCTTTTTGAAATCGAGTATAACGCGTATATCTCGTGTGTCGATCTTAATTTCAGTTTACTTTAGACGAGTCGTGTTACCGTTTCCGTTTGCAATTTTGATTTTATTGGATTTAGCTGTGTGCGGATGTGTCACTTATGTCAGTGGTTTTACCGATTTATTTTCGAAACGCTGATACCGTAAACTTCGTATTTCGACATTTCACTCAGTATTATATAATTACGAGTATCAAAGAGTGTCGATCGATCTTTGATGCTCGGAAATTAAAAAAAAAATAATAATAATAAAACAGTTTGATTTTGGTAGTTTCGTGAGTTTCTTGATGTAAAAACTATAATCAAGTATACTAATACAAAAAGAATAAAACTTGTTCAAAAATCGATTAGAATTTAGAATTTTTCTAGTAACCCGCATAAAATAGCGATAAACGATTGGCGAGATAAGTTATTTTAAATTTAGAATTAAATTAATTTCAGTTAAACTATTTACTTAATAGCAATATTTTTTTTAGGGGGAGGTTCAGAGGTTCAAAGACCATCCTGTACAGCAAATTTTCTTCCATCTCTCTCTGTCTTCTGCTACTTTCTTTCGGTTTGATTTTGAATCTACTGCTTTAACTTTCCACTTCCCACAATCTTCGCATCTAAGGCGGGGTCTGCGCTGAGGCCTATTTTCTATCGGATCTTCTTTGATTACTGCTTTTATCATTGTGTCCTCTTTTCTCCAGGCGTGTTTGGCCCATATTAACCTTCGTTTTGTTGATTCCCTTGATATGCACGGTTTTCGAAACATGTTTCGAAGCTCTTCATTGTTTCATATTCTCCATTATCCGGTTCGCGGGTCAAAATATAGGCCATAGATTCGTCTTAGAACTTTTCTTTCAAATGTGACTAATCTTACTTCTTCTGCGTTTCTTAGTGCCCATGTTTCTAAGCTATATAGGATGATGGGGCGTATTAATGTTATATACATTATTTAAAATTTGCCTAGTCTGTAACCCGCATAAAATAGCGATAAGCGATTTGCTCTATAGAATATTTTAAATTTACAGTAAAACTACATATTCAATGACAATGTATGTATGGACGTCTCCAGGGCGTCTCCGGGGGAGAGGTCGAGAAGAAGTATTTGCCCCTTGGTTTTTCAATACTTATATTCTGCAGCCTTAAGTTAATCTTTCTTGATTAATATGATTACTATGGCGAAATACAGTGCCATTTCAGAACCCGTGACAAATATATTACAAAATGGTTCGGTAGATCTGTATCAAGTCTGCAGACATATTGGTTCATTATTAAAAATGTTCGATAATCGTGAAAAGAACGCAAATGACATTTTTCAAACGTGATTTAACGAAGCTTTATTAATGCTAATTAACTGTTATAGATATTTGTATTACATGTCCAAAAACGGTAAAAAACAGTCGCTAAGAGCAAATTATGAAACTGAAAGTTGTGAAGATCATTACCAAGTATCTGTTTTTATACCATATCTTGATTCAATTACACAATCCATAAAATAATGTTTTGAAAAAGAAAACGCTTTTTTATTACAATATCTTCACCCCGCAAGTTTTAAACATTTCGAAAAAAAAAATATTCTTCGAGAGCGTTGAAAAAGTTTACGATTTCTATAAAATTAATAATCTACGAACTGAAGCAGCAAGTTGGTATGATTTTTGGAAAAATCGGGACTGCCAAGACATTAATTTTATTGGTTTGTTAAATAGTGACTGTACATTTTTCCCGAGAATAGCAATTGCTTTGGAAATGTTTATGTCCCTATCAGCTACAAGTTGTACAGCAGAACGTCCTTTAAGTACTTCAACGCTTGTTAAAACATGGCTTTGATCAACGATGGGTGAACATAGACTGAGTGGGCTATGTATGTTAAGTGTTCATCGCAAACAGGTAAATTCGGAGAAAGACTAATTAAATGAAAAAGCACTAACAAAATTCGGTAGAAAATATCCACGTAGATTACAATTTGTATTTAACGGAAAATGATAAATTTAAGTAAAAATACCTATAGTAATTATGATGCATTAAAGTTAAGAATTTATTTTACTAAACAAAACCGTCATTTATTTTTCAAACTGTGTTTGCCCCGCTCCATTGAAAAAAATCTGCGGACTCCCGTGAATGTAAGCACGCATTTTTCAAACGGATACGTGCACTCTTACTATACAGGTAGGTAGTTATTCATAGTGCCTACCCTTGTTCGATAGCCAGTTAAGGAATCTTTGAGTACGAGTTACGAGTCTGATTTTTTGGCGATTCGATTCGATTGTAAATTAACGGGCACACAAAATAAACTCGCGCGTAAGGCCGAAGAAGTTCACGTTAAACTCTACCAGTGAAAAATCGTTTAATAATAAAACGCCTTGTACAATATCGAAACCGTCGGAATGTCGTTCAAAATAGACATTTACGACTCGTAGAAACCCATAATACTATAATGTCATAAAAAAGTGTATTCGTTTCAGATTCGTGTCGGTCACGTTTCGATTCAATTAGCCGCCGAGTAAAACGAAGATATCTGGAAACTCGGGTAAGTAACTATTACCACTAATATTTCCGGCTTATTTGCACGTTATAATAATGTATTCGGACCGACGTTTTCGTGCGTAATAATATCGATTGCGTAACGATAAGGGTAATCCGTAGCGATGCGTTTCGACAAGAGTTCGGATTTGATTTCAGGTGCAATTAATTACCACGAAGTTACAAACAACGGTCATGCAACGCGCGTGCTATAGGTGTAACGACGAGCTATGCGCACGCCCACATTGAAACAAATTAGTCCGTGTTTTTTTATTAATCTGTTCAAAAAAATCTAATTCATACATGCCTATTGATTAAACATCTAACCGGCAGTGTTGCGTTTTATCCAGACACGTATATTACGTTCTTATCTATATAAATGATAAAATCAGTTGCGTATTCGAAATATCCGTTATCTGAGACATTTAATCGAACCGTCTAGGCAAAGTATGTATTTAAATCACTTTTCTTCTTTTCGAATTCGTAATTCGTTAGAAATAAATAAACAAAACCTTTAATATTTAATTAGTTTTCGCGTGGTAAAAATTAAATACAAATTTAAGTTACACAACATGTTTGGAATCCAGATGTGTAGGTACCGAATTTGGCGGCGCATTCGAATCGCGTCCAAAAATGATAGTTCGTTGGAGCTACCACCGTGGTTTTCTCACGATACATCCGAGTTGCGTCCGTGGATTCTCAATGACAACTATTAACAATTATTAACAATTATCGATTATTTTCTTTCCCCATTTGTACAGATCGATAACATTAGGTATATAAATCTTTTTGAACATGACCATTGTTTAAACAATTTAAAAATACTGCGTACGTTCAAACGATTTCGGTGAGTTTGTCACCGTGTAATTGACGTTAACACGAACAAAACGGTTTTCACCAATAAACTATCGGTATACGGTATTTTTAGATACGCTATAGATAAGACTGGCGCTAATACCCAAATGTTTACGATCGTATCACCAACAAACATAATATAGAACGGACATTCGATTAGCCGATCGATTTTCGTTTACCTGTGATTTGAAGTACGATCCTAAGGAAACGTTTCCGTTAACCAACAGCCGATACGAAAAACGTCGTTGTATCTATTCCTTTGAATTCCTACGGTTCGTTTATCGGATTCGAGTGGTTTTAGAGACTCTAGGTCTGCAGCGTTGTATTTAACATTGAATATACGGAGTGTCTAAGGCCTGATATTATCGACCATAAAGAATACCTGACGATTATTCTTGCGGACGCTAATCGGAACAGTCATTAAAAAACAGCGGACCCAATTCCGTTATCGCGACATAATAAATTTTCTTTTTTAGAGGCGCAATTCGTACGCATTCAAAATCTGGTGCCTATTCGCTACTTTTGATACTTATTTTTATGATAAAGGCGTGAAGAAAAGTGATTTTTTTTTTTGTCTAATCTCCCGATTATTTATCTTTATTCAGATATTTAAACCGCTCAGTTTCTTTTATTTTCTTCTAGACATTTATTATACCAGCAGTTATCTCTTATCTTTATTCGGACGGTTTTAAATTAATCTCCACAGAACATCCGTCGACTGACAACCCGCAGAATCGTATTCGAACACTCGAATAATTTGAAATTAATAGTATTCTACTCGATTATTAGACGTCTACATAGACACGGTTACGTCTGAAACGGTAACGAATTCACAGTATTATACCTACCTACCGTTAAAGCGCAGCCCATAAATATCGCATCACATTGTTGCGTGGTCGCGATACGTTTGCTCGTGCCTTATTTTTTATTATACCGAGCACCTCGAATAAAATCCAGGTTTACGCGCTGACGGTACTTATTAAGGTAAAACGAGTCAGGTACGCGGTGTCAGAAGTCGCACAATCTCGATAATATCTAGTAGTAAACAGCGATAAAGACATTATAATAAACGGTCGACACGGTTGAATTCGGTGTATAATTCGATGACTATAACGACGTGTGTATTCAATTTCTCGTATTTTTAAGTCGATATGGTTTTGAAGACACGTCAAAACGAACACAAATATATTGCGCTATTCGTATTCCGCCAACAGCGATTAAATCAATGCGATCCACAATTGTTAGTTTCAAACTGACGTTTTTTTTTTTTTACTCAGAGTTCGTTTTGACGGATAGGTACAACGCTTTAAAAAATCATTCGATGGACGTGATGCAATTTAAATACGATTTTTTTTTTTTTTTTTTCAGAAACGACTTTAAATGAATCATTTATTCACTAACGCAATTAAGATGTATAAAAACGTAAACTCATTTCTATGGTTTTAAATATTTTTCAAACATTTAATCAATACCGATACTTGAAGAATCGAATGCATTGTAGGTGCGCGGTGCAAAAGTATTTGCATTGTCTGGGCCGACTTATAAAATATCGAGGACTTATGTAGTCAATTTTGTACGACTTTTCTTCATTTTTTCGCCTTCTAGCGTAGGTAAATCTTTACAACACAATTTTTCTTCGTTCATTCCGTTTAATTGATGCTTCTTAAAAAATATAATGTGTTATGATTGCGACTCGACGTGAGGCCTCTAAAAGCGAGGGGTTCTGTGCGAGTGCACAAGTATACTCATTCAACACTTTTTTTCTTTTAAAAACTCTGAATGGTATGCAATACAATTTTTATAAAGTAGACGATGAATCAATCTTACACAGGTAGTAAAATGCAGATAGCATTAGAGCGCATGTTTATAACTGAAAACTAGTTCTTATACGCCATTTTTAAACAATAGTAAATTTTCATTTAGATTTTTAGATTTCCAGTGTAACGTAAAATCTATTGGTTGAATTTGGTTAGATCGACTAGATCAACCGTGTCACAATAAATTTTGCACACATTTTTTGATCGGAGCAATATTTCTGGTGGGAAAAATGTTTGCAGAACACACACACAAAAAAAAATCGTTCATCATTAGTGAAGCTTCGCTCGGTATAAAAAAAAAAAGAAATAAACGTCGAAAGCGATAACATGCTAAATCTGTTTGGGATGTTTCGTGAAACGTATCGACCGACTATCGCATATTTTTGTAATGTGAAATGTTATTGTAGGTATCTCTAGTCTACAAGATCATAAACATAAACGTAGACACGACTTGAGAAGTACTCGTATATTACTGTTGCTGTTATACTTGTCGAGGTGTAGTTATATACTCGAAGGTGTAAAAGTGTAAGTAAGTATATTGTACTTATATAAAAGCAAGCGTGTTACGTTGTTACACAAATATTTAATACTGCGCATAACGCGTATTTAGAAAAAAAAAAAAATAAATAAATAAATAACCAAACAAACAAAATAAAAAGCACTGTAGGTACCATAATAATTGTATATTATGTTACATTAATGAGCAAATTTCGTGATATATATAGTCAATAAACACGTTTTTTTTCATCACTCGCGGTAGGTGCACAGGCAATTACCTGCAATCCGTTCCAATAAAACACAGACCAGTTTTTATACATATATATATAAAAAAAAAAAAAAAAAACGATTAATATAGAGACCGCAAATCACTATACGATGTATCGTAATCGCGTAATATTTATTATTTTGTATTAACGAGTGAATAATAATATTCTGTACATAAATGTATACGTATATGTATGTGTATATAACATGTAAGATTTTCTTTCTTATTCTTTCACAAATAATCCGTTCCCGGTTCAACACTACCTACGGACCAGTTTTTTTTTTTTTATTGATTTAGACGGCGAGACGCGCACGACTAATGCCGCGTGTTACAGTCAACCGACGTCGTCAACTGGTTATTCTAACAAAATGCGTAATAAAAACTGTGTTTTTTTTTTTTAATACTATATTTATACGAATGATAAACTCGGGATTCGGTATAAAATGTATATTTAGCGAAAATAGCAAATAATTCATAGACATCCGTCCCGGTGGACGCGTGTTCAATTCGATTCGAACCGCTATAATGTCGGACATCCATTTTGTCGAAATCGTAGAATTATGAACCGAATCGACTTCGTTTATCGCAAAGTTATTTTTTGGTATTAATTGGCGTCTGGAAATATCGGAAAGAATAAAGACAAAGATCAGCTGAAATAAAGACTAATACACAAACCTACGAAAAAAACGGAGGAACACAGTAAAAACTAAGACAAGGATCGATTAGGTTTGAGGAATCGAGAAGTTCAAGATATACTCATCATGGACAATTATTGGGGGGTTTCGTAAAGACCGAAAAGGCTCTGAATGGGTCGCGTAGAGTGAATGAAAATCACTACGATCCCGGAGAATCTAGATTTGATAGAGAGAATTTAAATATTTCAAACCGTATTATATTCCAAATCGAACGAGATGGTTAACTTAATAATATAGCTGATTGTCTGCAAATATTTTCAAAATGCATTTAAAGTTTTTGTTTTTTTTTTTTATATCCTAAAAATATTATGTATCAAGCAACAAAGGAGGGCGGGTTTAATATATTATGAAAAAATCGAACTCAGCAACGGTATTTTTAGGTATAAAAAGTATATTTAATGTGTTTATGATATTATTTTACAAAAAAATGTTTGTATATTTTTTTTACGGAACACTCGAGATGACATAGAAAACGGAATCAGTACAGTTTGTGGTGAGAGTACGGGGTGTAAGACGAATGGACCACGGGTTCGTGATGGTACGCGTGTTCGTCGTGATGGTGGTAGGCCGGTTCGATTTTCTTCACTTTGGCTACGAATCCGTGTTCGTGGTCGGCCGTGTACTCGACCACTCGGGTAGAACCGTCGGGTTCCACCAGACTGTACGAGCCTTTGACGTTTCCGTGTCCGTCGCTCACTTCGTATTGGCTCTTGATGTCCTGGGTGTGCGGATCGTGTACGTCGTACTGGAAGTTGTACGGGGTGGGTTCGTGGGCGTAGTTGTCGTGATCGTAATTACTGCTGTAGTGCGGCGGGTAGGCGAACACCAACTGGCAACACAGCGCGGCGAATACGATCATCTGCGAAATAATAAAACGTTATGATTTGTATTGTGGAAGAAGTTGGCAAAAAGAAAAAGTTGCTTTGGAGGGCACGTGGAGTAAACGAGAACGAACGCGGGTGGACAGGACAATGTGGAGGGGTGCAAAGATGAGAGTTTCTTTGACCCCGCGTGCGTGGTTTATAAAAGCCAACGGGAAGAATGCGAAGAGCAAGGACTCGTCAAAGTTTTTCGTGTATATGGCGAATCCGGCAAATCTACTCTTTGAATGAACGATTATCAAAATAAATTTTTTCAAAAAACATTTTTAGGATAAAAAAAAATATTATAAAATATATCTTCGGTTTAAACAGTAACAATTATACAATTTATAGAATACGTAAATATAACTCGTTAATTTCGCGGAAAATTTGACATTATTAATAAATGTTATCGCAAAAAAACCATTTTCTAAGTTAGGGTTTACCTATTTTATTTTTTTTTTATTTTTATCAGTTGTAATATAATTTACTACTGTATTGTATAGAAATATAAGTAAGAATACACATCTTTGAAGTCAACGATAATATTATAGAACATTTTGTGCAATTATCTAAAATTTGATTGTCTGAAACTTGTAAAATATTATTTTTTCCTTATAAAATGTCCAGTTATTATGAATCGAAAATGCTTACCTTTATGGCCATTTTGGAAGTGTGTTTACGTAGAATACGGTGGCTGTTGATTTGATTTTTTTTTCACGAAAATCGTAATGCAACTGATGGATATTCAGTCTTGGATTACAGTTTATATACAATACACCCGAATCCCCCCTATTTTATCATTTTCCACGATTACGAATTATAATTTATCTCCGGCCCAAATATGAGTTACGCCAGACAATTAAGAACAACCGAGAAAGAAAAAAAAAATCACACGGAATCCTAATTTTTGCATTTCTTAACAGCACATCAATTACTACACGAGTGTACTATAATTACGAGTATGTAGTGCGCAATACATTTTATACAATACGTTATCATAGTAATATTAATTAATTCGTAATGTAACGATGTGTTATACGTATGCAATAAATGTTTGCGAACATATTTTAGTTTCTGAACGTAGTTAAGAATGTATTGGTTTTACCACGACGTGTGCTTATTTTAGTTTCCGAGTGGAGCGAAGAAGCTTATAGTTTCACAAAGATGTTTATTAATATTTTTTTGTTGTTTTTTTATTTATGCCTAATTTTTCTACCAGAACACTTAATCAGATTTTTTGGTGTAGCACCTTTTCTGAAAGGAAATCGGTGTGGGGAGGTACTTTAAGGAGGAATCATTTTGATTTTCTCAGGCATTTCTTCATTAAATTCTAAAAACCGAAAAAAAAAAAAAGGGAAATCATAAGAAATGTAGGTATTGTTTAATATATATTACGAATTTTTTTTCTGCGTACAAATTTTCTACCAGAAATTTTGTTCCAATTCATAATGATAGCAATATTTCTAAAACTAAATTTGCTTGTGAAGGTACTTTTGGGAAATTTTTTTTCGATTTTCCCAAGAGTTTTCCTTACATATGTGAAAAACCGGAATAAAACATGGGAAAACTGTGAGAAACATAGGAAAGCTTGGAAAATCGGTACAATATCAAACAAATATTATTAAAGAAAATATAGAAGGCCTATTTAATTATTTTACTATATTATAACATATATATTGTTGACAAAGCATCGCTGCTAACTGAACTCCGTTTTTTCGTAAGCAGTGGTTTATTGTTGCTTGCGAGTATACATTAAATTACCTATAATAGTGGCTCCGTTCGTCTCCATTATCCTGGGACGTCTTTTTAGTTTTGTGTCTGCACACTATTTTTCCATATCCGAAATCTTGCTCTGATTGAAAAAACGACCAGAGACATTTTTTGTCGCATTTTGGGTCTAATCGGTGGGTCGGGGAGGAAGATTTTGAGAATCGAGAAGGTTTACCGGCATTAAAGGTTTCATTTATTTCCCATACTGTTTTATTTTATTTTTATTTTTGTAATTCGGTTGAAGATAATTGTCAATACTCGGTATTTTCACACAGTACTCAGTATATAAGCCAACGTGTTAAAAATTTCTAAAATATACGCCACTTTTGAGTTGCTGGTAGGAATTTCAAGATGTTGGAATTTTGCGTAAAACAACGTCGGATGGCGCGATAACGTCGTTGCGGTGATGCAAAGGGGGTAATTCATGGGACCGTGTAGAGCACCGCCGCGCCGGTGTCATTGTCATTGCAATGCCAGTGACAATGGCGGTATAGAGGGGTTTTTTTTTTTTATTAACAATCGTTACAGATATAAATCAAATAACTTTATGTAACCCGTCTTTTCAACTACCCGTCTGCCACAATGGAACATCCATGAGCTGTACCGGCTTTCTTTTTACATTTTTACTGTATAATTTCGAAATATCCGAATGAACGGTTATTCTAAGATCCATTGCAATGTTGGTTATTACAAGTATTATTTTTCCACAGAAAAAAAAAAAGACGATGTTCAATAATATTATTGAATCATGATAGTATACATTTTATTATAAATCCTTAATAACAATATTTTCGAGTTATAACATTAAAATTGTATTAATCAAAACAGTAATTAGTTCAATATCGTCAATCCGTTTATAAAGGAAAGGTGCAGGACCGATGGAAGTGGAAGTATGTAAAATGAAGGAGGGTAGTGGATAATGGCGCTAAATAGGAAAAAAATATGTTTTCAGAGGACTGGACTTTTTTGTTTTTTTTTGAATTTTGTTATTTGAAAATTATTTTCTAAATCAGAAAAATAACCCAAAAAATAGTGTTTCGTTCAAAGTAAAACCAGATACTCTCAAATTTCTAAATTTGAATCGTATAAAATGTTATCTCCTTTGATAAATTATTCGTTTTTAAAGTTTGTGAATGAAATATTTCGAGATTCTTTATCATCTATTGAGTATCAGGGAAAAAAATGTATTTTTGTTGTCATTTTTTTTTTTTTTGTTATTTTTGAGTGAGCAATGACTAAAGGTTAAATAATTAGTCTTTTCGCTGTTTTCCAACATCCTTTCATGCAAATATTTTTTTTTTTTCAATAATTAAAAGAAACATAAGTATAATTATTATTGTAACTGTACTGTATTGAATAGTAATTCAATAAAAACACACTTTTTTTTCTTTTTTTTTATTTAGTTGGTAGTAATTATGCCTGTAATTACAATAATAACGTGTAATATTGAATAAATCCTCCTCAAGTAAAACGATAGGAGAGTATATTTTTTTGGACAATCAATTGTTGGTCATCTTCTACCTTGAGTGTCTTTCCCAGAAAATTTCACAAAATAAAACTTTATTACTTAATACCCTTTGACCTTCGTGGTTTGTCTGAGTATTAAGAAATTAACTTCAAAAAAAAATGTTATAATAATAATGTTTTATGGACAACTTTCGCTACCTATCTTCTTATTTTTCAGAAATATTAGCCGACTACAGAAAACGCCTTCAATTTTTCACAACGCGAGAATTTTACCATCGATATAATATAAAACTACAGTTAGTTTTTATATTCTAAATCATCATAATAAATAATATTTGTATACTGTCCATCGTGTATTTTAATTCCATATAAATATTATTTTTGTTGTGCGCATACTGAAAACGCATAATACTCCACTAATTCATAAAATTGATCGTAACACGAATAAACTAAGCCAACGTAACGAAACAAATAAATCATTAACGGTTTTTTTAGACTGTCCGGGCATTATAAGTAGTCCGTTTTGTAGTTTAACATATTTGAATCGTTGAAATAGTTTTTAACTTTATAACGCGAAATATATGGTATAAAAGTAAAGGCGTATAGCAAAATGACGTGCAATGATATTTATTAATTACGCCCGGATCGCTTTATAGAACCTTCAAAATAGAGTTGTACATTATATTTGTAGACACGATAAGCGAAATAGCAGTGGTATTATACCTCATCGTACTCCGAACGAATAAAAAAAATAAATAGACACGATTCAAAGTATTCAATATGTTAAATTAATAGTTTATTTATTAATTAACAAACAATAAATTAAACATTTTTCATTCCGATGTTGTAGGAATGGAATATGAGCTGTACTGTTTCTATAACGGAAAGTTCAGCTCATCAACGATTGCGGGGGTTTGTATTGAAGAGTTTGAACGAAGTGGTCGGCGATTAGTATGCCTTGTACGGGGCTGGTTTGTAGGCGGGTGCCGAGTATGCGGGTGCTGGGTAAGCTGGTGCTGGGTATGCGGGTGCCGAGTAGGCGGGTTTGTAGGCTGGGGCGGCTTTGTAAGCTGGGGCGGAGTAAGACGGGGTGCCTTCCTTCTTGACCTCGGCGTTGAAACCGTAGTCGTCGGCGGTGTATTCGACGATCCTCTTGGTGCCGTCGGCTTCGATCAGGCTGTAGTATCCCTTGACGGTCTTTCCGTCGCTGGATTCGGCCTGGCTGTGCACGTCGTAGGTGGTCGGGTCGTTGACGGCGTATTCGAAGCTGTACGGGGCCGGGGCGTACGCGGGCTCTGGGGCGTAGGCCTTTGGTGCGGAGTAAGCCGGTGCTGGGTAAGCTGGGGCGGCGTATTGGGCGACGGCGGCGGCCACGCAGGCGGCGAGAATGATCATCTGAAATGCGCGATAGTGTTAGACAATATTATGGATTCACAGGTCGGGCTTGGTTAGTTTAGGTTATGAAAGACGCGTTTTTAAAAGGAAAATCGTTTGAATTTAAAACAGACGCGTTTCGCCGAAACGTGGAATTTCAATGCACGGTCTCGAAAGATATTATGCCATTATTAAACACGTGAATTTTTTGAAATTTGTTGAATATTTTCCTCAGAGTCATTTCCTCTGAGGAACACGCGCAGATAAAAGCGACGTTTCGGTGGACCGCGTCTGTTTATATGACATTATTGTCGTACACGAGTAAGACGTGTTTCCCTTGAAGAAAATGTCCGACCGTATACGTACTTTGGCGGCCATTTTATTTGTTGTATTTTTGAACTGTATTCTGTCGATGATGACTTGTAAATGTCGGTGTGTTTGACACTGGTACCGTTTGCTCGTAATCCGTCGTATTTATGTCGATCGGCCAGGTATGTATTCTTGTTTAATATCCCTTCCATATTATTGAGAATGTACTATCGAATACTATACGCGATATTGTATTTTTATTTTTATTTTTTTTTGCCAGAACCGGTTGTTTTAATATTGTTTATAAGTATAACTATTAATTATTATTATTATTCGTCGTTACTTGAATTCGCGTGGCTGACGCCCCCTTTGCTCAACAATCCTTTCCAATTAATCTACGTAATATAGTGACAGCTCGTAGATTAATATTCAGGGCAGACTACAATTCTTTAGCTTATACATTATTTTATTAAAACCTCTGTTTAAAGATGCATTTAAAACAAATGAAATAATTAAATACGAATAAACATTAAAAACGCTATGCGCTGTGGTAATTTTACGACTTGTCCTTTGGTGGTGAACGGCACTCTTAAACTAGTTTAAGAGGATGACACATGATTCCACACAATATACTCTTTTTTCTACACGATTCCGCACATTTGCCTTATACGAAAGATTTTTTTTATCTGACCAGAATATAACACGATTCCGCATACAAATTGCTGTGGTGTTGCCAGTTATAGTAAAAATTATTTATAGATAATTACAATATTCAATTTTATTAAATTTTATTGCAATAGATATAAACGAATTATTTAATATACCTGATAAAACAAATAATTAATTAAAAATAAAGTATATAAAAAATGTATAGTAAAACGTCAAAAAGTAAATAATAGGTAATGATTATTTTTTGTCAAACGCTAAAAAAGATTAAATAAATACAAAAAAATAATAATTGTTTTCCTTGATATTTAGGACCTACTTGTGATAAAAATTGAATGATACTAATTTTATAAGATTTTATACTTATTGTATGCATTTATGGTGAATTCCATACGTTCTTTTTCTTTTGCGTTTAAGATTGTCTTATTATCATATAATGTAATCGATCTGAATTTAGTTTCAGTTTCCGATTGTAATACCATCAGTACTTTTAGGACTAAATACATATGTGGGTGAGGATGGTGAAATTGGACGTTATATGTACGATAAAAACTTTAAGAAGTATTATTTGTTCTAAAAAGTATAATTAATAATAATTTTTACTCACAGAAATATTAGTGTTGATTCAACTAATGTTACCTTGGATTCATTGACAGCTCTTTTGCCCACAATTCTGGTGAAAATAAGCATTTATCACATCGTTGGGGCAAACACAAATATGTTCAACGAGTGCTTCATTTACTGCAAGAAAAGGCAGAGCGAACAATTGCTTCAACCATTTTCTAAGTTATCTTTCGAATCCAAATATGCTTTTCTAAAAATTAGATTAACTTTGAATCTATAAACAATTTCTAAAATAAATAAATAATAAGAAAAAATACCTATAAATATTAATATACATTAATACTGTTTACCTTACGCCACCAAGACTGTACTAAGTGAAATCTGCAAGCTATTATTTTCACAATCGGGAAAACAGATAGCACTAATTTTTGTGCACTAATTTCAAAGCCCAAATGTATTTTTTTTTTATATTTAATATTTGATCGCTACAAAGATGTCGAAAATAATTCCATAAATCTACATAGTTATTTTGAGTTTTGTCTTTTAAAAAAATATATCCCCGTGGTAAATAAATCCATTTTTATAACTATGTATTGTGTATAGTTGTAAAGAATGCTCAGGTAAAATAATCAAATGTTCCGTCACAAAATAATTCTGAACGAAATTGAGCCAAGAAATTAACGTTTTGAACAGTTGTGAGGCAAATCAAATTTCCATCCTCCGTCATAAATAATTTTTCGATTTTTAAACATGAAACAATTATCAGCTATTAAATTCCTTATTTGTTGTAAATCATCATTTAAGGATATTAAGATGACAGGATAATATTGTCATCGTTTATCGAACATTGCTTTACTCGCAGATCTAATGTCGTGGGGTCTTATATTTGATGATTATGGAGTTACTCGAGAGAAAATCCCAAATTGCAAACCTAAGGGCGAAATATTTCTAAATATTAATGAATAAATATGATTATATACCAGTCTACCAAAAAGCTGTTATGTGTTTTTCCGTCAAATAAATAACAATAGACTAAATAATCTGTTTATCGTATGCGAAACGTCAAAAAACTCACAACGGCAACGTCGCATAGAAATTGTGTGCCGAATCGTAGTGTATGCGGAATCGTGAATCATCGGTTTAAGATTGGTCTCATTATCGTGCATAACACCAGACATTTTCTTTGAGACCCTGTCTGGCAAAACCGGCCATAACATTATATGTTACGACTAAGTCAGCTCGGGCAGCAGTCGCTTCGATATCGTTTTTTCTTATTTAAAGTCGTAATGTTTCATCCAAAATAATCTGAATAAAGAAGAAACAAAAACAATCGGGGAAAGGGGCGAACTAGAGCACTGATTCTTCCCTCGGCCATGACATGTTTTCTCTCGTTATTCGAGAGAAAAGCGATTAACATTATTCGTTTTATAACATGGTGTGTTTTAAACACTGTCTCTGTAGAACTCGACAAGTTGTCAACTTTTTTTCGTAATGTAATTTCCATTAATGCGTTTACAACTTTTAAAGACATTTCAATGTTGGAAAAACCGATTATGAATAAAAATAAAACATTAGGTTCACAATGTTTTCCAAACAACTTTATTAGGTTTAAAATCCTGGTGTTCATAAATCAGTGTGGAGTATAAATATTACTATATACGGGGTGTTAGTGGTTATACCAGCGTTTTAATCGCTATTAAAAATAATACGAAATTCGTTAAGGATACGTCCGAAATTTTGATATATTCAGGGTAAGTGTATGGACATTGAACAGGTTAATAGTTTATTGAACCAAAACGATATTTTAAAGAAATTTTTATATTTGTTTTTTGTTCATATGAGCACATGATAAAACATTTAAACCGTGATCAGTATAGTTTGTGGTGAGAGTACGGAGTGTATGACGAATGGACTACAGGTTCGTGATGGTACTCGTGTTCGTCGTGGTGATGGTAGGCCGGTTCGATTTTCTTCACTTTGGCTACGAATCCGTGTTCGTGGTCGGCCGTGTACTCGACTACTCGGGTAGAACCGTCGGGTTCCACCAGGCTGTACGAGCCTTTGACGTTTCCGTGTTCGTCGCTTACTTCGTGTTGGCTCTTGATGTCGTGGGTGTGCGGATCGTGTACGCCGTACTCAAAGTTGTAAGGGGCTGGCGCGTGGTGTTCGTAGGCGTCGTCATGGTGATCATAGTGACTGCTGTAGTGCTGCGGTGGATAGGCGAATACCAACTGACAGCACAGCGCGGCGAACACGATCATCTATTAAATAAAAAAACGATTCATGAATATTTTGTATGAATAAAAACCGAGTTATGTAAGACATGGTCATAAAAAGAAAATTATTTATGAGTAGATTAGGGCCGTGAAGATGGGTGGAGTTGACGAAGACTAAGATGATGGATGGAGGCCCTCAGTAGTGAATAACTGTGACCCCACCAGTGGGACGGTAGGTTAGGTTAGGTGAAGAAGGTGATGGCAAAGAAGAACGTCATGTACCCGGTCTTTTGACTGGTCAAAAGTACTTTGAATACATATTTATACATTTGGAGTATAAATTTGTTTAGTTAAAATGTACTGTTCAACTGTATTATCAATAGAACTAAAAAAAAGCAACTTATTCTTGCTTGGAAATTAGCTATTTTTGGCTAGTAATATTATTGGTAACCGTTAAAAAAAATTACAAATTGAAATCCACAAAAATAATATGTTGAATATTCTATACAATTATTTTAAATTTGTTTTTCATAAGTGTCAAGCTTTTACTTTATTAATAAAAAAAATTATGAGTTATAGTATAGAAAAAAAAAAAAACTTACCTTTATTGCCATTTTAGATTTTTTTTTGTAAAATCAACAAAATATATACAAAATTAAATTAAAGTAAAATTAATTTGTGTTTACACAAAAACCGAAATGTATATGATGAATATTCAGTCTTGGACTACGGTATTTATACAATAGATCCACCATTAATCCCTCCTATCTTATATTTTTTCACCATATCACTTCTACTCATCTCAGGCCTAAATAATAAATACACATTACATCAAGTAATTAAAAAAAAAAAATACCACGGAGTCCTAATTTTCATATTTCCGCGCATCAATTATTACATGTGTATTATACACATTATACGTAATTTTATGCAATACGTATACTATGTACTAAAATGGAAATACTCAAATAATTTACGATTGTCCTAAAATCCATTTAAATACTGATTGTAACGAATAATATGTTTCTGAAGTAAAATTTGAAAAAATACAGATGGTCGATTCGATTGCATTTTACTGTATTCTTTTTTCTCTGACTACATAGTAAGTAAAACTTCAGATGAAATAAAAGTGGATCGAAGAAATCAAAACATTTGTATACGTAAAAAATAAAAAAAAAACAAATAGAAACTGAAAAAGCTATATTTTTTTTTTTTTTTTTTGTTATCGAAAGTACTTTTTAATATTATTTTTTTTGAGCTCAGTCTATATTTGTTTTATTAATATTTTTCAGGCGATATCAATATGAAACCGACTTGCGACCTAGCTGTAGAGATACTAAAAATTTAGATGTAACCTACTTTTGACCGGAAAGAGAGGGTAGTAAGGATTTCGGGATTGGATTTACAAGTACATACTTATAGCAATATTTGCGTGGTTAAATGTTCAATATTACGTATATTTACATATGGGGGAGGGCTGTGGAAAAGTCTCTCAAGCAATCTCCCATTTAATAGTTAATTTAATACAATAAAAAATTCCATACAAATTCTGGATTTAATCATACAAATACATAATAAATACGTAATAAATATTGGAATTAATAAAAAAAAATTTCAGAATGGAGGGGGAGGCTGGCGAGTCGTACGCTATACAAATCCATGCTTCATTTCGTATAACTTACGCGGGTATTAAATTTTTGAACTGATTATTAAAAGTGCTCGTATAAATCAGCACGTTCATAAACATAATAATACGTAGTGACGTTAACTTACTGTACACAGTGCTGATACTCAATTATTAGCCTATTATGTGGATGGCTATTATTACCGACTAATGCACATAACCATATTCGTCAGCATGCCACTCACAGGTCCCAAAATTTACAAAATATTTTCATTTAAATAATAGTTTTTTTTTTTTTTTTTGGCAGAGACTAAACAAATTCAAAGTTTAATTAGACGTTGGTTGGCTATAACAGACTAGTAAAAACGGTATATTTTTAAATATATTGTAATCATTTACCATTAATAATTTTGTGAGTGAGTATTTTTATCACATATTATTATGAGTTGAAATATCGCAGACAAATGTTTTTATAAACATTGCATGTATATCAACAACGTCGCTGTAACATCTGTAGATATTTTTAGAAATATTATGGATCAATTAAACTGACTTCACACACAATTGGTACGCAAGACCATGTCAGGATGGTCATCAAATTGTGTATCGAAATTAAATTAATATTAAATTGATAGGCAAAGCTAATAAGTGGGTTCGTTATAACGAATAGTTCAGATGATACTATTATTTAATGATAATTTAATAGATAATAGAAATATTTTCTATTTGTACAATATCATTTAAATAAAATACAGTAAAATATATTTGGGATATACGAGTTATTTAGTCTGCGAAAAAATTCGTTTTGTTTCGAATAACCTAAAACACGGGCAAAAATGTATAAGTGCTCTTATAGATCGACTGGTGTCTATACGCACACATAATTATAATGCATACGGATTGAATTGGAAAGGACAATTTAGGGCGGTAACCGTAGATATACAAAAACCGAATAATTGTAATAGTAATACCAATAATGAACGACCGGTTTTTGTACAACAAATATGATACAATTGAAGTATCACGTAGCATTCGATTAGCGAGTTTAGCATTATGGAAGGGATGTTCAACGGCAAACCCTGACCGATCGACATAAATACGACGGATTACGAGCAAACGGTACCAGTACCAAACACACCGACAACTACCCGTCATCATCACCAGAACACAGTTCAAAAACTCAAAATAAAATGGCCGCCAAGGTATGGAATATTTTACGGTTTAAAAATTATGTTCAACTCGTATTTAATTAACCACGATCAAACGNGAAGTATCACGTAGCATTCGATTAGCGAGTTTAGCATTATGGAAGGGATGTTCAACGGCGAACCCTGACCGATCGACATAAATACGACGGATTACGAGCAAACGGTACCAGTACCAAACACACCGACAACTATCCGTCATCATCGCCAGAACACAGTTCAAAAACTCAAAATAAAATGGCCGCCAAAGTATGGGATATTTTACGGTTTAAAAATTATGTTCAACTCGTATTTAATTAACCACGATCAAACGAGTTCTACCGAGAACGAATTTTTTTTCTTTTTTTCGAGAAAAAATCGAATAGAAAAATGAATCCGTTTCATATATATTTCTGACTAAAACAGTAGACGAAAATCTCCGGTCTCGGCAGTATACTTCTGATTTCGTCAAACCTTATTATTATTAAAAATTAGCAAATTAATAGTCTCACCTACAACCTTGTCTAACATTACCGTGCATTTCAGATGATCATTCTCGCCGCCTGCGTGGCCGCCGCCGTCGCCCAATACGCCGCCCCGGCTTACAAAGCCGCCCCAGCCTACAAACCCGCCTACTCAGCACCCGCATACCCAGCACCAGCTTACCCAGCACCCGCCTACAAACCAGCCCCATACAAGGCATACTAATAACCAACCACTTCGTTCAAACTCTTCAATACAAACCCCCGCAATCGTTGATGAGCTGAACTTTCCGTTATAGAAACAGTACAGCTCATATACCATTCCTACAACATCGGAATGAAAAATGTTTAATTTATTGTTTGTTAATTAATAAATAAACTATTAATTTAACATATTGAATATTTTGTTTCGTGTTTATTCATTTGTCTGTTTACCCGATCTAATTACTATACAAGTACACCACATTTGTCTTACATATTAAACGTGATGTTTTTGATTATGTTTATCAAATAAATGATTTATAAAGCGATCTTTGTGTAAAAACCAGATTGTTGTAAGTCATTACGCTTATATCGTTATATATTTAACGTAATAAATTTTTCGAGATCTGATATTTAAACAGAAAACTGATATTTGTATTTTCTAAAAGTGGAATAATTTTAAAAATATTTCGTGGATTTTTGAGCTATAAAAAGATACTTTGTTTTTGTAATTTCTTTTATTTGTAAAATCATAATTTGAAAACCCTAAAAATAACGGCCCATCACATTATGTGTATTAGAATTTATCTCAGAGTCGTTTTTCCACATACATAAAAGTTAAATAATAGTCTTTTGATCAAATTTAAAGACTAAAAATATTTTAACTGAATTACAAAATATATCAAAATTGGAAAAATATAAGTATTATTTTTAACTAAATCCAAAATACAACAAAAGTCTAATGATACGTTTTTTTACTGTAGCAATATTTCTGGTAGAAAACGTTGTTTGCAATAATTTAACACAATGAAACCAAAAATAACCTTGCCCTAATTATATACTTTTTTTCTTGTTCAACCGAATCGCTGTAATCTCAGACATCTATTCTGTCGGAATCGTAGGCTTGTGAACCAAATCGACTCCGTTTATCATATAATTATTTTTCGGAATTAATTGGCGTCTGAAAATATCGGGAAGAATAAAGACAAAGATCAGCTGAAATAAAGACTAATAAACAGACCTACGAAAAAACGGAGGAACATGGTAAAAAATGAAGACAAGGATCGATTAAGTTTAAGGAATCGAGAAGTTCAAGATCATCATGGACAATTATCGATGGGTATCGTAAAGACCGAAAAGGATATGAATGGGCCGCCTAGAACGAATGAAAATCACTACGATCCCGGGGAATCATTTCGATATTCCAATATTACATTCCAAAACGAACGGGATGGCTAACTAAAAAATATAGCCGATCGATAATCAGCTGCAATTATTTTCAAAATATATTTACAGTTTTGTTTTTTTTTTGGTACCGTAAAAATATCATGTATCAAGCAACAAAAGACGGCGGGTAAAATATATTATAAAAAAACGAACTCAGCAATGGTATTTTTAGGTGTGAAACGTATATTTAATGGGTTTATGATATTATTTTACAAAAGAATGTTTTGCATATTTTTTTTTTTTATGAAACACTCATGATGACATAGAAAATAGGATCAGTACTGTTTTTCATGAGAGTACGGGGTGTAAGACGAATGGACCACGGGTTCGTGATGGTACGCGTGTTCGTCGTGATGGTGGTAGGCCGGTTCGATTTTCTTCACTTTGGCTACGAATCCGTGTTCGTGGTCGGCCGTGTACTCGACCACTCGGGTAGAACCGTCGGGTTCCACCAGGCTGTACGAGCCTTTGACGTTTCCGTGTCCGTCGCTCACTTCGTATTGGCTCTTGATGTCCTGGGTGTGCGGATCGTGTACGTCGTACTGGAAGTTGTACGGGGTGGGTTCGTGGGCGTAGTTGTGGTGATCGTAGTTACTGCTGTAGTGCGGCGGGTAGGCGAACACCAACTGGCAACACAGCGCGGCGAATATGATCATCTGTGAAATAAAATAACGATTTAAGAATATTCTTTGTAGACGTGATGGAAAAATTCAATGTAAAAAAAAAAAAAATGTGTATACATTTTAAGTCCAAATTTTCCCAGGGTAAAATATTTCGGTAAAAATAATTTCTACTATGATTTTTCTCAGGTGATGTTTTTACCGACTCTCCAAACAAAAAGTTCACGTGTAAGACAAACGATAATTCACTCAGTTACTGCGTTTAAAATTTAGTTCTATTAAAACTGTAGAAAATAAAACCTCATAGTTACTCGCTTATTTGCTTTTTTCTCGATAGTAATATTATTAGTAAGATAAGTATAAAGATGATGTAAAATTAAAAACGATTTTTATGTCCACGAAAATATTATGATAGAATATTCTGAATAGTTAATTGAAAATTGCGTTTCGCAAAATTTAAGATTTTACTTTATTTAGAAGAAAATGACAATTCATTTCATACGAATTTTTTTTTCATCTATACAAGTTACGAGTTATATTATAAATTCAAAAACGCTTACCTTTATGGCCATTTTGTGATATTGTACGCACAATTTTACCAACGTGTATGCAAAAATAAAATGATAGTTATTTGGTGTTCATACAAAATCCGAAATGTATGTGATGAATATTCGGTCTCGGAATACGGTATTTATACATTAGGTGCACGAGAATCTCTCCCATTTAATATTATTTTATGATACCGATTCGTTTATCTGGGGCCTAAATAGTACAAAGAATAATGTGCGTTACGTCAAGTCATTAAAATAAATCCTATGAAATTTTCATTTTCATATTTTTTGCGTATCAAATATTACACACAAACACATAATTAACGTAATATTATGCAATGTACGTAGGTACAATGTACCTATAGTTATTTTTTTTTTTTATCGCAATAGCCCGAAATATTCAATTATTTATAATTTACGGTTGTCCTAAAATCCGTAAAAATTTTGACTATAATGAATAACATAATTTTTCTAAAAACAGTTTAAAATAATAATAATATTATTATTATTGTTATTCTTGTATTCCTCCCCAACCCCGCTGTTGATTAATATCTTCTGAAATTCGTGTTTTAGATATTTTTATAACAAATACATAATGTTTTTTTTTTTTTGATGATTACTTTGGTGTTACCCCGGTAACACGGATGAAAAAAAAAATTGTTTATTATTTCTTTTGGTACGGGCCACATCGTACGGGGCAGCTGATGAGATATTATTGTATACAAATATTAGTTACAATTATTTTCGAACTCCTTATCGACTAAATTAACAGCCGTATCCAAGAGCTCATGACTAGACCTACGGATACAACGAGGATATGAGGTGTTCTAAATCTATTTTTAGAAACCTGAAGTTACCAATTTATCTTGACCAAATATGAATCGAAGTGGTATCGAATCAATTATTCTAATTAATATCTGCGTATTTTAGAAACGTACGATTCATCATAATCGAAATTTTAATATATCACGGACATACATTTATTTAAACACAATGTGTTCCACGTAGACCCTTTACAATATTTCATGAGATAACGAATATAGTCAAGTCGTTTTTTTTTTTTTTTTTTTTTATAATTCTCACAGAAATAAGAACTACAAAACTTTATATTCGAATTAAATTTTTATGTTTCACAATACGACAACAAAACAAACTCATTATTTTATAATTTTTGAAAAATTTGGAGGTTTTTTTTTATAGAATTTATTCCTCTGAAAATATCGAAGTATACACTTTTTATTTCCATCAAATTGATTTTCATCAAAGTTATTTTTAATATTTTTTCAAAGTTCAGATAAAAGTACTTATATATATATCTATGCAGCAGCCTGTAACGGCAGTCGCTATTATATTATTATCATTATAACAAATCGACTATAAACTTTTTTTCGTCTGGAGTTGAACAATTAATTTAAAATTAAGAATTTGATGAAAAAAAAGACGTCATAGGATAATGGAGACAGATACAGCCACTGTTATAGATAATTTAATGTATATCTGTACACAACGATAAACCTTCGCTAAGGAAAAAACGTTTCTGAGCGTAGTTTAGTTAATAGTGATGCTTTGTAAACAATATATATATATGTCATATTATGGCAAAATAATTGAATAGGCATTATACATTTTTTTTTAATATTGTACCGATTTTCCCTGTTTCCCCATGTTTTCTCCGGTTTTTCACATTTGCTGGGGAAGTTATTGGAAAATCGAAAAATGACCTACATTTGGTACATTTTCTGAAATTTTATCCAGATTTTTCCTAGATATTATGAAAAACGCTTGAAAAATCAAAAACGTCTATTATTACATAAACCACATACGAGTTAATCCATAATACAACGACTTCTGAGTTAAATGACCTCTGTAAATAGGAAAACAAGTTACACATATTTAAATTTCGTAAAAAATGTAATATTTCTTCATATATATTTATACATTGGAGATAAAACACACACTATAGTTTTATACTCGATAAAATTAATCAGAATTTTGTTGTGGTAAATAAAACCTAGCACAAAAAAAAAAAAAACAATAATTTAGATAAATATCTTAATTTGTATATATAAATTTTTTTATGTGATGTTTATTTTTTGTTAAACGAAAAATACCATGATAGTAATTCATAAGAAAGTAATAATGAACAAATAATGTCCTATAGTTGATAAAGAGAAAATAGCAGGATTAAAAAAAAATGTGTTTTTAAAATCTTTTGCATTTCAACCATTTGCATTTATTTCTGTATTACTGCTTTTTGGTTAAATATAAACGAGACAAGCACATGGAATTCTTCCTAATAATATAGAAAATTAAAAATGACCTTATACTGAAATACGAGATAATAATATAAGAATATTAGGAAATTACGCATAGCAATTTAGTTGTTCGGCACGGATAAATTTTTACAACCTAGTGGAAATTAGGTAAAAAAAAAGTGGTGTACATGTATAATAATTAGATCGGGTAAACAGACAAATAAATAAACACGAAACAAAATATTCAATATGTTAAATTAATAGTTTATTTATTAATTAACAAACAATAAATTAAACATTGTTCATTCCGATGTTGTAGGAATGGAATATGAGCTGTACTGTTTCTATAACGGAAAGTTCAGCTCATCAACGGTTGCGGGGCTTTGTATTGAAGAGTTTGAACGAAGTGGTCGGCGATTAGTATGCCTTGTACGGGGCTGGTTTGTAGGCGGGTGCCGAGTATGCGGGTGCTGGGTAAGCTGGTGCTGGGTATGCGGGTGCTGAGTAGGCGGGTTTGTAGGCTGGGGCGGCTTTGTAAGCCGGGGCGGAGTAAGACGGGGTGCCTTCCTTCTTGACTTCGGCGTTGAAACCGTAGTCGTCAGCGGTGTATTCGACGATCCTCTTGGTGCCGTCGGCTTCGATCAGGCTGTAGTATCCCTTGACGGTCTTTCCGTCGCTGTATTCCGATTGGCTCTTGACGTCGTAGGTGGACGGGTCGTTGACGCTGTATTCGAAGCTGTACGGGGCCGGGGCGTATGCGGGCTCTGGGGCGTAGGCCTTTGGTGCGGAGNCGGCGGCGGCCACGCAGGCGGCGAGAATGATCATCTGAAATGCACGGTAATGTTAGACAAGGTTGTAGGTGAGACTATTAATTTGCTAATTTTTAAAAATAATAAGGTTTGACGAAATCAGAAGTATACTGCCGAGACCGGAGATTTTTGTCTACTGTTTTAGTCAGAAATATATATGAAACGGATTCATTTTTCTATTCGATTTTTTCTCGAAAAAAAGAAAAAAAATTCGTTCTCGGTTGAACTCGTTTGATCGTGGTTAATTAAATACGAGTTGAACATAATTTTTAAACCGTAAAATATCCCATACTTTGGCGGCCATTTTATTTTGAGTTTTTGAACTGTGTTCTGGCGATGATGACGGATAGTTGTCGGTGTGTTTGGTACTGGTACCGTTTGCTCGTAATCCGTCGTATTTATGTCGATCGGTCAGGGTTCGCCGTTGAACATCCCTTCCATAATGCTAAACTCGCTAATCGAATGCTACGTGATACTTCAATTGTATCATATTTGTTGTGTCAGAACCGGTCGTTCTCCATTAGCATTATTATTATAATAACTATTCGTTTGGTGTATACGTGCGGTTGCCGCCCTATATGTACCTTTCAAATAGATCCGTTTGCATCATTATTATTAAACACCAGATTTATATGCATTTTAAATTTTAATATATGCCCTCAAAAAGTTTCAATGTACACTGAAAATGCACAAAATACGAAAAAACGATTTTCGATTATGACAGCTTTAAAACAGTTTTTAGCTATTAAAACAGCTGTTGTTGTAAAATTATATAATCAAAACATTAATGATGAAAAATGACTTGGACACTTTGTTATTGTATAGTAACAAACCTAAAAAATGTTATATAAAACGAACACGTTCTTTTATAATAGGTCGACTGTCGTCAAATGTACACCTCGAACTGCAGTCGTCAAACTGTTTGTCTGTATTCCATAGTAATGAGTTCGGTACCTATCTACCAACTGATGATCTACGGAAACGTAATATTATATTATTTTTAATTTCGGTGTCGTGGAACAAATTTATTTATACTAATTTTGTATAAAAATCAAACGAATGTATTTTAACAATTAAATGTATGCGCAGTATGCAAAAACATGCGTTTTTATGGAAAATATGCACTCGCACTCAAAATATGTAAAATAAAATTTGCAATATTATTCATTTAAGTGTGATCTATGAAAATTTCCTGCATGCAATTGCTGATAAAAATATGAACATGCGTTATAATTGCACGATCCGGTCCTAAATTATTACTTATGAATACTAAACACGCATTTTTCTATAAATTATATAACCGTTTTCTAAGTCATTTGACATAGAAAAAATGTAAACCAGAATTGTCTTACGGTCTAAATAATTAATTACCGAAATGTATTATCAAATTGGATATTGAATGAAAAAAGTTTAAATGGAAAACATCCCTGTTATCCATTAAACTCTTGCTAAATATTGGAACTATTTGAAAAACCCGTGGTTTTTAAGGCATTGGTTTTCACCATACACGAAAACTAACTACGAAATCAGTTCGACATCTATGTATATCAAAATGTCCGTATATCTCTTTTGTCTTCCTAATCGATCATTCGATTGCGATAAAACTTTGGTGAATTGTTGGATGCATGCCCGCCAATGTTTCTGGCATTCTGAGAAATTCTTCTAGAGCTCCACTATCGGCCACAAAAACTGGGTTTTTGGTAAGTTTGATACAAAGATAAAATCATTTTTTTTTTTATAGATGGACTATTTTGACAATATGTAGATGTAAAAACAAAAAAAATTAGTTAACTGGTTTGTAATGAGGAAATTCACATTATGTCTATATTATTTATTCGCTGTGTATATAGGCGATTACGTATTTTTTTTTTTGTCGTGATTGTGGAGAAAATGTTTAATTTTAGTTGTTGACGAAGAAATGAATTTTGCGTACACTTCAGTAGTTAGAGATGGATAGAAAAAAAAATTATCAGATATTTTTCATTGCTTAGCAACCATATGGCTAATTTAAAAAAAATAAAAATAAAAAAAGAAAATGCACTTATTATCAGTCTTTAACAGTTTTATACAAAACATATTTTTATTGAACCACACTTTTTCTAAGAAATGATCCCAATACCTTGCTACAGTTTCAAAGCGAGGAAAATAATTGGTTTTACTATGTTTGTGTTTTGTTTCTTACTGTAAAGCACTTAACAAAAAATAAGAAAAAAAATAATTTTTTTTTTGTATTTTGGAATTAGTTCTTAGAAACTAAATAAGTAACTAAAAGTAGGTCATTATATAATTTGTCAAGACATCTTTTTAATAATTGGGAAAAGACAGAAAAAACGTACAGTGAACTGTAAAGTTTACGGAAATAATGGTTTCGACAATTTATTTTTTTATTTTTATGTTTAAATTTATTTATCAGTGTTCCTAGAGATTTAATATTTGGACCGAAAACTTATATTTGTATATTATAGCAGTGAAATTTATCGTAAAATATTTCGGGGATTTCTTAGTTGTAAGTAGATTTTTAATTAGTATTTATTTGAAAAACATAGCCACTGATATCAAGTATTAACAAACTTCATTAAAAATCGTTTTTAATACAAATAATTTATCGTTTTATACTGATTTAAATAAATTGACTTTATAAATCTCACATTCTCAAATTTTGATCTGCAGCAGTGGCACACTCGTTAGCAGTATCGGTTTTTTCACGAAAACCAAAGTGTTCATAATCCTTCATTGAATGTAAAAATGCAATTAAAATTATAAACCAGCATTTAATATCTATCGATATTAAAATAAGTTTGGAAAATGTACTTCCTAAGTTTCTATAATTTGTTTAATATTTAACTCGTAGGTAGGTAAGGGTATTAAATTATAAATAATTTTTAACGAAAAGATATTTCAAAGATATTTTTGTATTTTTGTTTTGGTAATCTGAGCACATGATAAAACATTTGAAACAGGATCAGTATAGTTTATGGTGAGAGTACGGAGTGTAAGACGAATGGACCACGGGTTCGTGATGGTACTCGTGTTCGTCGTGGTGATGGTAGGCCGATTCGATTTTCTTCACTTTGGCTACGAATCCGTGTTCGTGGTCGGCCGTGTACTCGACTACTCGGGTAGAACCGTCGGGTTCCACCAGACTGTAGGAACCTTTGACGTTTCCGTGTTCGTCGCTTTCCTCATGTTGGCTCTTGATGTCATGAGTGTGCGGATCGTGTACGCCGTATTTGAATTTGTACGGGGTGGGCGCGTGGTGCTCGTAAGCGTCGACGTGGTGATCGTAGTGACTGCTCTGGTGCTGTGGCGGATAGGCGAACACTAAGTGACAGCACAGCGCAGATAAAACGATAATCTAAAAAATTAAAAAATATATGAAAATTTTATAATGATGCGAACCTGGTGGAAGAGATGAATATGAAAAAAAATATTGTTTCTGATTAAAATGATGAAGTAAGAAAGGATGGTGTTGACGAGAACCAATGTGATAGACAGAGCAATGAATTGGAGGTACCAAAATAGTGAATAGCTGTGATCCTACTCGCGTGATGGCAAAAGACGAAGGTAACAGTGAAGAAGAACTTCGTGTATCCGACTATGTAATTGCTAAAAAAACTACTTTGGACATTTTTTTTTATAAATCGGGTCAAAATAACTATGTACAAATATTTGGTGAATAATCTCTACTCCAGTATTTTGGTTGAACTATGATTGGGAACTTATAATCGAAATATCATACACAAATTAATAAATAAATCAGTCAATAAATTTGAGTACAATTTAATATACTATATTTTAAATTAAAAGAAAAAAAAACAAATACTATTACAAATGTTGCTTTTATTCGATAGTTATATTTTTAGTTAGATATTTATAAAAAATTCTGTCAAAATAAAACACAATTTTAAAACAACCCAAATAATATGATAGAATTCCTGTATAGTTAATTAAAAATGGGTTTTCATAAATTTTTAAGATGTTGTTTATCGTATAAAAATTGCGATATATTTTACAGATTCAAAAACTCTTACCTTTATGGCCATTTTGCAGTTCTCTTCGTACAATTATCAAAGTATTTGTAAAATAAAAATGAAGTTTCTTGTGTATATACAAAAAGCGAAATGAATGTAATGAATATTCGGTTTCGGAATACGGTATTTATAGTATATACCAGTACACCAGAATCCCTTCTATTTATTATTTTTCTAGGATTTCTGTTAATTTAACTTAAGCCTAAGTTGTGTAAAAAATTGTTGAGTGTTACGTCAAGTAATTAAAAAAAAAACATATGTTATCTTGATTTTTAAATTTCTGCGTAATAATTAAAATACTTAACAAACGTGAAATTATGCAATATTTGTACACTGGATAGTTTTAGATTATCGGCAGAGCAAAGAATATATATTGTTTTTAAAATTATGTTTATAATTTTTTATCAAGTTTTTTATGTGAATCTTTTTTCTACTAGAATTTTTTTTAAGAATATCAATTATATCACAATTTTCCTAATTTTAATGTTTTACGTGCGGTAGATAAAAAGTGTAATTTTTTAAAATTTTCATTAACATTCTTAATTTTGTGAAAAACACTTTTCTTTAGCTTCAAAAAGATTAAAAGATTAAATTATATTTTATTTGGTAAACTTTTTTATTTATAATTTTTATCATTCCTTTTTTTAAATTTCATAAACAATCATAATTACCATGGATTATGTGCAATGTAAACATTAAAAATATTATAACATATATTATTGAAAAAGCAATATTATGAACAGATTTTCCCTNTTGAGATTATGAATATATCGTAAGACATACCAAGAGTATAATGTTATCCCGAAACCTGTTTTTAGAAACCTAAAGTTATCTATTTATTTGATATTATAATCTATTTACCAATTACCTGATAATTATCACATTATCAATTTTTTCTCGAACATAATAAAATATCGAATTTCATACGAAACATCAGTACGGTATCTAATCGACAACCAATATTATTATAAATAATTTATTAGAAAAATGTTTTTTGTAGCATAATCGAAATTTGAAAATTTAACAAACAGCCACTGTTTTAGGTGTGTAGTCGGGAAGAACTCATTTAGAGTAATTTAATCGATATAAAACATAGGTACGCAAATTTTTGAAATGTCGTGCATTTTACGGTTTTTGAATAAATTTTAACTTTTTTTCCCGTATAAAATTCATATAAAATATGATAAAATTCTAACATAAAAACACTATCATTCGTCCAAAAAAACTGTACACATTTTAGTAATGTTAGAGTGATTTTTTATTTAATACTATTATTTTTGCTGTAGGGGGTTTTTGGATTATTTTTTGATCGTTAATACTCTTATTTTTTTAGTGACTTGCTTTTTTTTTGTGTCTTTGATTATAACTAATTGCCATTTACGGTTTAATTTCATTTATAATTTATCATCTTACTATTACTTTTATCTAGATACCAGTTATAAATAATTCTCAATTGTAGTAAACTGTTTTGCCGTAATTGAATTCATCAAAACAATAATATAAATAATTGTTTGGTCACTTTTCCATCGTTATCGAAGTTTGTGTGGTTAATATTTAGTCGATATTTTGCATACATATTGTACATTTTTTTTCAACAAAGATTTTTTGTCCCTTTTAAACCAATTTTAAAATTTTGTGTTTAAAAGAACAGACTGGATCAATTTGAAATGTTGGTTTCGTTAACTAAGTTTCTTTAGTCACTAAAGTGTTTTACAAAAGCAGACTGCGCCCAAAATTTCATCACTTATAAACATAATTATACTTAAAGAAATTACGTTTTAGCAGGAAATCAGCAGTGATATACTGGTATTATAGACAAAAAAATTAACACGATTCAAAATATTTAATATGTTGAATTAATAATTTATTTATAAATTAACCAACAATAAATTAAACGTTGTTCATTCCGATGTTGTCGGAATGGAATATGAGCTGTACTGTTTCTATAACGGAAATTTCAGCTTATCAACGACTGCGGGGGTTTGTAATGAAAAGTCTGAATGAAGGTGTCAGCGATTAGTATGCCTTGTACGGGGCTGGTTTGTAGGCGGGTGCTGGGTAAGCTGGTACTGGGTACGCGGTTGCAAAGTTGGCCGGTTTGTAAGCTGGGGTGGCTTTGTAAACTGTGGCACAGTAAGACGGGGTGTCTTCCTTCTTGAATTTCGCGTTTAAACCGTAGTCTTCAGCGGTGTATTCGACGATCCTCTTGATGCCGTCGGCTTCGATCGGGCTGTAGTATCACTTGACGGTTTTGCCGTCGCTGTATTCCGATTGGCTCTTGACGTCGTAGGTGGATAGGTCGTTTACGCTGTATTCGAAGCAGTACGGGGTCGGGGCGTATGCGGGCTCTGGGGCGTAGGCCTTTGGTGCAGAGTAGGCCGGTGCTGGGTAAGCCGGGGCGGCAAATTGGGCGACGGCAGCGGCCACGCAGGTGTCGAGAATGATCGTCTAAATTCCCGGTTATGTAAGACAAAGTGTTGTAGGGAAGGTTATTAAAAAAAAAGTTGTGCGAAATAATATCGTATGACTAAAACAGAAATATTCCGCATTTATCCTTTTCTTTTTAAACTATTCACAGTATCGAATACCGCGGAGAATGTTTTAAGCTATTGAAAACATCGGTCTGACCAGTAGAAATAGTAGACAACCTAACCATGCAATAGTTGGAGCTGGATGAAAAAAAAATAGTTATCAGATATCTTTTATTGCTTGGCAAACATATGGCTAATTTAAAAAAATTAAAAAAAAAAATGCAGTTTTTTAATCATTCAGTATCAATCAAGTAATATATCTAAAAATAACTATGGATTTCCTGGCAACTTTTGTTCAAGTACATGCTATGTTCGTAAAAGTGATTGTCAGAAATATTTCAATTTATAGACATTTGTGAAATAATTTCTCACTCACACAGTTATTAATAATGAATGATTGTAATATAAAATAATTTTTGCTATACTGCAACGGTCTACTAATGTCTACAAGAAAAATGTGTATTTGTTTTAAATCTCTGTACAAAAAACGACTGGCATTTAAATGCCAATATGTTATAAATGTTGGGTACCATGACAGGGACGCAGGCGAACACGGTTCAACATAAATATTTTTATGGACGTGCTGATCTTTATGAGCACATTTAATATTGATTCCAAGTATACAATACTCGCGTTATAAGTCAGTTGAATTTACGCAGGAATTTTTAAATGTGCAAAAAGTATATACATTTTCACGATAATTTATAACATGAATAAGAAACACAAAAAACAAATCAGAATAAAATGTTCGGTTAACAGCTTTATCCAAAACATATTTTTATTGAACCACACTTTTTCTCAGAAATGATCCCAATACCTTGATACAATTTCAAAGGAGGAAAATAATTGGTATTACTATGTTTGTGTTTTGTTTCTTTCTGTAAAGCACTTAACAAAAAAAAAGAAAAAAAAAATGTTTTTTTGTATTTTGGAATTAGTTCTCAGAAACTAAATAAGTAACTAAAAGTAGGTCATTATATAATT